ATGGGAAAAGTGGTTGTGACTGATACCGTGAACCGGGGCTACTCAAGACGGGCGGGATAACTTGAGACAGTCCTCCAACACGGCGTAAAACTGTTTTAGTAGCAAAACTAATTGGAATATTGCAAAACTAAATATAGTGGCATAAATGTCAACATTTTTCCTATCTATGTAGTATAAAGGAAGTTTAAAAATACTACATTTACTAGCTTTGAAAAATTCCTGAAAAAAATGGTGAAAAACTATATTTTTGAAAGGTTACTTCTGCTAAAGTCTAGTAAAAAAAAATATTTGCCATATTAAAAAGTTTTGCTTAGAAAAAAAGTGGCAGACAAGTGTCAGCATGAAAACTTTATTTGCGGAATTTACATACCTTAATCCAAAAAAATGGTGGCCTTTTCCGCATGGCAGGGCTACTCGGGACACCTCCCCGGGGCTATTCGAGACACCCCCAAAAATAGAACCTCAGTTAGCAAAGAACCTCAGTAGAACCTCAGTAGAACCTCAGTTAGCAAAGGCTCCAGTTAAGAAAAAAATGATTAAAAACAAAGAATATTGATTACATTTACCTCGCTCAGCAAAAAAATTTCACTTATCAAAAAATTAGTGCATCATCGGGCATCACAAAATTGTGCATAGAATGTCATCATACATAGAATTGTGCACCAGGCATCATAGAATGAAAAGTAATTGACCTGAACTATGATTTATTTCTCCAAAACATATGATGGTTGTCACTAAAACATTCCTTTCTGTTTCAGGTATGTTTTTAACGATCTTTGTTTTATAGTAAATTCACTTAATCCAATTAAAATGGTGTGAAATTACAAGCCATCCTGTAAGCTTACAGATACAGAAAAAATAATATAAGGCTGCTGATATGAAGCTTGCAGTGGACAAGGTTGTTGTAAATGCTCAATGGCATGTTCATGGATACGGTAATATTGCATCAATAATACGGTAATTAATGTATATGGTAATATCATATCAATAAATGAAAAAGAAGTAAAAATCACAGAAAATGTCATTTATTCTACCTCTACATCATTACAATGAAAGAGGAGGACTTCAGAGTACTGTTAGTAATGGATGAGTACACTCTGCATGCTTCAAATGTTTTAAAATGAAGTTTTATTCCAAGTGCCCCGAGTAGCCCCGTTTAACGGGGCTACTCGGGACACTCTTTTTTTGTTTCTGGCACCTTACGAATATCATATGGAATTTTTTTGGAGAAGCCATGTGATAGCCCTTGCAAAGAGCTATGAAATTAGGCTAAACTTGTTTATGAAATTTTTCATGGGAAGAAGTTATGAATGAAAAACGTTCGAAATCATCCCAAGTAGCCCCGGTTGACGGTAGATTTGAAAGGGGTATAAATTAACTAAAAGGGAGAAGTAAACAGAATAAACTCCATTTTGATAAATAAATGATAAAGAAAGTATACGAAAATGATAAATAAATGACAAATACATAAATGATGAATGAATGAAATGATTAATAAATGATGGGTAATGATGGGAAAATTTTGATGATACGATAGGAAAATTATCTGAAAATGATGGAAAAATAATATAAAAATAATGGTGAAATGCTGGGGAAATGATGGTTAAACAATGGGAAAATTAAGGTTAAATGAAGCTTAATGGAAGAATGTTTGAAAAATGATGAAAAAATGATGGGAAAATGATGAAAATAATGGGAAAATGTTGAGAAGATGATGGGAAAAATAATGGAAAAATGTTTGGAAAATTATGGGAAAAATGCGGAGGAAACTACGATAAAAGTGAACTGAACGTGAACTGCAGCACTGCCATGCATTCTCAGAATGGTAGAAATCACTTTCGAATAGCTGCAGAGCCCTGAAATTTTGAGAGCTTTCTCTAAAAAATGTAATCTTGATTTTAAATTATCTCTCATTAACTTTGAAATATGATATCAAGGTTTATTTTCAGCACAAATGTTTCCCCTTACACATCCCAGCTAAGAAAATAATTGATATACATTTCTTGAAAAACAAGATGGTGTTGTCATAGTTTAGGGTTTTTTTTAGTTCATTTCCAAACACAGGTCAATCAAATTGAGCTAACATTTGGGCAGGACTTTAAAAATTAAATACCTTATGCGCGCCAATGCAGAAAGTGGCTGTGCGCCATTTTGCCAGCATTGTTTACATTTGAGCTTAGTTTGTGCACATACCTACCAAATACCATACTACCAGCATATCTTTCATACTCCTTTCTGTGCATAAGCCTGCTACAGGGTAGAGCAGGATTGAAATTTTCCTACTTGTTTCTGAAATGTTGCAGCTCCAACAAACAAATTTTTAATTCAATTGGAATTGTGCAGCCCAATTATGCACTTTAGTTTACAATTAGACAGGAGGTAATTCATCTTGCAAAAATCTTGCAGTTCCGGAAATGGCAGGAAAGCTCTAGTTGCGGCCTTGAAGGTAGGTGTTTTCCAAGCTTGGGGCAGAGTAGCACAAGTGATTATTTGCTAAAAGCCATAGGTACAAATTCCCTTGGAAATGAACCAGCAAGCTAATGAGAAGAAAGCCACCAATACAATCGCTCTAAGCCGTACTTAAAACTGCCCAACAGTTCTATCCTATGCTGCCTAACCTCCTCACAAATTTTGGTAAGAAACTCCCTGTGCCACAGTGCTGTTGGTGCACAGCCAGCACTCCAGCCTGTCCACTCATAGCAGCTCTTTTCCCCCAGCCTAACTCTACCTCCACGCTTACCCCATTTCCCTACCTTTTTGCACCAACTGCCTGATGGCTTGTTGCAGTTTCTGCTCACTTGACGACTGCCTTACACAATGAAAAGAGGATCTATATGAGTCATAACCTAACCTAACCTAACCTAATTTGAATAAGCATTAAAGGTCTGTGAGGAAAGCTTCCAGCCAGCCATGGAGGTAAGGTGCAGAGTCAGGGTAAGTGTAGAGGAAGAAGATGCTGGGGGTCGGGGGATAGTAAGGCAGGGAAACAGTGACATTGGGTTCACGTCTTATGGAATGAGTAAGGTTATGACGCATTCCCGTTTGGTACTGTTCACATTTGCAGGAAGGCAGCGTGGTCAGCTGCCTCTTTGGATAACAGCGAGTGTAAGAAGTGATGGTATTGTTAAAAATCTTTGGGGAATGTCGTATTGACCGTTAACCATGTGGTGTAGCAGTTTGTGAGCTGAAACAGTGTTGGTTTAAAATTTGTATATGGAGATGGGTCAATTGACTACAGCTGCTTAGGTGCTAGGATGACAATATCAATAGCATTTAGATGGTCCACGTTGGTTCCAGGGCTGATTTGAGCATTAATTTGCTGGTCTATGGCTGCACACCCATAGTTAACTAGGCAGTTGGCTGCTGCCAGCTGCTGCTTACAAAAAATTTGCAGAAAATTTATATACTTTGTTAACTGCTTTCTGCAACTAGAGCTTTACCCATACCACTATTTTTTGGTGTGCCAGATTTCCTCTAGACTGACTGACTGACAAAATCAGTTTTTCTTATCTAATTTTTAAAACCAGAATGATTAAGCTATAAACCACAAGATTCATCATTTCATAGAATTTAACGCAGAATATTTTTAAAATTGTGGGTTAAAAATGTGTTTTTCTTTATGTAAAGAATAGGAACAGCTATAATGGCCATGAAGATGGATAAAATTGGCTGCATTGTCTAGGCAAATGGCTTGCATGTTTCAAATATCATCTTGCTTTAGCCATTTCTATCATAATTTCAACCATGATGGAATTCCAACACTGTTAATTGTCGAAGAAATGGCAGCGATTTGGGTGGTGAAGTCATCAAGGGACCACGGTGTCCCACTCCGTCTCCAGGTGGCAGGGCATGCGCTCCTATTTTGGTCATCACTCTGCTAGATTCCTTAGGTAGATTGTCATTAAAAAGGCATTTAGAATGCCACCGTGATTTCAACATTGTATTCTCTAGTATGGTAATTCTTAAATATGTTGCAATATTTTTAAAAATGGTGGCTACAAAAAATTGCTTTGTGGTAGGTGAAATTTTGAAAATTAGAGAAAAATGTTATTTATATTAATTTATTTTTAGGAAATAAGTCAAGAGACATAGAACATGAATGAAAAACAAGCAGAAGCCACCCATTTTTGTCTCATTCACAGGTGGCCAGTGGTTTCTATTAAATTTTCTACTTTGGTTCACCAGCATGATCATTTGGTTCACCAGCATGATCAGTAAACCACACCTGTAGACTGTAGTGAACTCCTGCAGTAAATTGACTTCACAGCTCTAGTGAATTAGCAATGTAACTAAAAACTTTAATCATTTCTCTAATTATCACATTAACACATTACCATCATTGATGTCTTTGTGCTTCAAAACATTTTAGGAGGAATCTTGTTTGAATTCTTGAAATATGAAATTCACATCTCTAATTGGATCAAATCCATCTGATTTGTCTATTCTTTTAAATTGTTAGATGAAGTTATTGATTTTGAATCTGAATCTGATAATAGCACTAAAATAATGGAGAAAGGTTATTCCCACTGTAAATATCTTTTCTCAAGTGGAGACTAGAAATCACTCTTTTTTATTAGTCAATTTCATTTTTTAAAAAGAATATGGTAATCTTGCTAGAAAACCAGTTGCTTTGTTATGTGAGCCAAGTCATATACCGTATAGATATCAATGTTATATTGATATCTATGACAATGACATGCCAAGTCATATCTATAACATGCCAAGTCATTGTTATAGATTGTTGTTGAATATCAATGAACTACTTTGAATTAAAACATGATTTTACAGAAATGTGAGGCTAATAAATTTCAAGACAAGTCTCTGCAATCAGATCCTGACAACTAGAATAATTTAACTTTGATATAGTTGGTACATGAACTAATTTTTTTGAGGGCTTCATGATTTTTGTACAAGAATGTTACTTTGTATGAGATGTTGTAGATTACCTAATATGGGCAATGTTCAATTAGTTGGTAAATTATATTTATCATTACTTTTCAGGTAGTTAAATTCCATGTGCATGTGAGACTAGCATTTTGCATATAAAATGTTTGATTTTAATTTAGTCTTGAAATTTTCCTAGATCAGGCCTGATTCAAATTACAAACTTGCCAATGGGAATCATCCTTAGTGATCATGCTCAACAGATGCTCAAGATCATCACAACGACTACTCTTGCTCAAAGCTTCAAGATTTATTTGAAAATGTTTGAATTACAATTCCGTCATCATGAAGTAAATGGTTACTTCCTACCACAAGTTTTTTCACAAGTCAAAATTCAAGCTTCAACTCCAGCAGAGTTTCCCAGCTGCTAATAATCTATATGGCTTCTTATCATTGAACACCAATTCAAAATTTTATCTTAAAATATAGGAAATCATGGAAACAGCTGTCACCTATAATTATGATGTCATCCCAAGTTCAAGAACACATTCTAATGACTGTCTCAAGTTGGATATAGGTCTGAGGACCCACAATCATCATGATAATATGCTCTTCTCTCCAGTAAGCCATAAAAAACCTGAACAGTGGCTTGAAACAGTTGAAAAATTTTCCAGCAGCTTACATCATAGAATATTTCCTTTGACACCTGTAACTTTGTCTACATCACAGAACAGTCTAACTCAGACCAGTTCACTCAACAGGTCACCCATACAACATCTTGGGAAAGGACACCAACCGTATCTCAATGGATTTGACCCAAAAGATGCACCATTCGAGACTGAATACTCTCTGTCCAAGAAAGATTTACTAGAAAATATGGGAAGCATCTATAATCTCAAAATAAATCCAAAAACTCTCCAAGTCAATTCAGTTTCAAAGAAGAAGAAGAAGAAAGTTCCCACAAAGAAAGGCACTGGAGCATGGAGTTCTCCAACTTTGTCTGTTGCTCCTAGTGAACAATGTGCTAGCTTACAAATTTTATCTGATTTGCATGGGGCTATTAGTGACTTTTCAATGAAGCCTGAACTTTCACTTTCAAAATTATCAAAAAGTTGTAGCAAAAAGGCTGGTAAAAAAATAAAGTTGGTTTCCCAAATTGATTTGGTATCTGAAAGTCCTCCAACAACTTGTGAGTCAGATGCCTTAATGACTCAAGGATCTACAACTGATGATGTGCTGCAGTCTCCTCTGAAACAATTTGATGCCAAACAAGAGGAAACTAGCACTACAAATTTCAAATGCCCAAAGAAGAATTCAAAAGGTCCTGTCAAAAGAAAGCCACCTAAAACAATAGTTCGAGATTCTTACAAGAAAAACAAACATAAAAACAAATCCAAATTTACTGTGAACCTTAGTACTGATAGTACTCAATTGACTGATAAATACTTGATAGATAAGAGAAGCTTCCTCGAGTCAAATGCACTTTCTTTAGGCAGCCATGCTTACTCAGCAAATGATTACTTTCAACATTATATATCTAGTGAGCTGTATGAGCAATATTTAAAACCTAGAGCAGAACCTAGTTTGGGTGATTTGGCATGGAATAACTTCATTCATCATCCAGAAAGAAGAATGGGAGCTGACAGCTTGAATGCTTTATTCAAAATTAATGCGACGCCTGATGGGGACAACATATTACATCAAGATTTGGAACCTGGAGAAATTTTGCGGCTTCAATCAAATGCATCATCTGCCTTCCACAGAGATATTAATACTGACCCCCACCAATTTTTCAGAAGCAGTGTAGCTGTACCTGATTTGATGTACATCTATTACAGCAAATTCTATGAGACATTCCATCAGCTTGCTCTGCAGAAGGAACCTACAGTGGAGGCCTGTCCAATTCTATCAGAGACCAATACTAATCCTAGTGTTTCGGTTCCTAATTTGGGAAGCAATAAGTTCTCTACCGATGGGGTTTCCTCCAATATTCCTAGGAATCCTGTTGAAATTTCTCATGGCTGCAAACCCACAAAACCACAGCCAACCCACAAAATGGAATCTGACCACACAATTGGAATTTCATCTAGAGCTGATAAACGAAAGCTGCAGGAACTGGACATTCCTCACAATTCAGATTCTACCCAAGAAAGAAGCAAAAAACAGTGCATTGATTCATTGCATAATGAGCAGGAAGACAGAGAACTTATGTCACAGCATGCAAATGTCAAAGAAAACTTTGAGCCTGAGGTGAGTTCAAATTCTGATTTAATTTTAAAATTCATCCAAAAATGAAATACAGATTCTTTTATTGGTTCCTTTATAGAAGTCTGTTATTCCTTTCTCTTGAATGTCATGTTATAAAATAATTCCTCTAGAGCAGACATCACACATTTGGTGTTAAATTTTCCCCAGAAATTGACATTGCCATCATTGAGCTTGTTTGTCAATATTGAGCTGATGATATCAAGTTCATTGTTTTGCTCATTATTTAATGTTTCTATGAGTAAATTTAAATAGGTACACCCAAGTCTAAAGTCCTTAAAAAATGAATTGGGAAAAAAAAACAAGTAGTGGGATTCTCTATTAAACAAAAATGTTAATTAAAAAAACTCAGTTACTTGAATAGTATGAATGTGAATTTAATTTCAACTGCTTCGTGCTGAATCTTTGTTTTTGTCTACAAGTTTTCAGTTGAATGTTATTATAAAATGGTTAAATTCAATGGCTTGAATCAAGATCAAAACCTGTTATGTCAATCTTGCAGGTTACAGACAAGCAAGTCTCACCACTACTGCTGCTCAGGGCCACTCTCCTGGCAAAAAAGGTTAGACATAATTTTTTTCTTTATTAGTTGTAGGTATTTAAAAATATTAATATTAGTTATTTATAAATTAAAATTGTGTAAGTCTAGAGTGCTCCAAGTCTTAAACTTTATGCATCAAATGATTCTTTCTTCTGTTGTCATAGATATAGTGCTAAACTTTTCACATATTTCAAATAATATTTATATTAAAATTTCTTCCTCAATGGAAGTTAGCTTATATAGATTTGAACAAATCCATATTTTTTTTATTACAGGCTATGTGTTCCAGCAATAACCCAGATAATAGTGGGTTATGTTCTTCTACAAACCTGTAAGTTTATTGCCAAATTATTGGCTGTTCTTTTAATAAATGATCATAATATTATTGTAATATTAGGAGATCATCTGAATGATTGCCTTATTTATCTAGTCAGTTAGGAATATATTGAAAAACAGGTATTAAACCTGTTTTAGTATATTTAGTATATTATTATTGAATATACTAAGTATATTATTTAGTATATTTAGTAAGGTATATTATATTAGTATATATTATTTAGTATATTTAGTATAATAAAATTGCTTGACATTTTCTTTGCAGTTTGCCAAGATCCTCCAAGGCAGCCTGTGATGTTGGCAAATCAACAAGTGATGGAATTAACACTTCTGCATTTCCAACTGCTTTAGATCTGACATCCAAACTCCATGAAAGTTCAACATCTTTATGGAATGGTAAGCCACTGGAGCAGGATGATGCTTCTAACTACGCCAAGAACCCGCTGCTGCAAAGAGAAATTCTAAATAATGAAGCCCAATCCATTGATCCAGCTGAAAAATTAAATTTTGACTTAAAGGAGGCAAATTGTAGCCTCAGGCCTACAAATTGTGACACAGTTGGGCAAGAGCCTGATGCTGATGAACTGCTAACTCAGAGAGCAATGAAGCTCAGTGAAGTTCCTTCATGTTTATTTCCTCAAGAGAAGATGAGTGAAATTTTTGAGCCTTTGATAGATTCAAAGCCTTCCAGAAGTGAGGTAAACAAAGATGACAGTATTAAATTATTGGATGGGAATGATGATGTCATGATCGAGACAAAAGGAGAAGACAATACACAAGAGGATACTTCAAACCTCATCAACCTTAGGCTCAATATCACTGCTAAAATAAATCTCATTAAACTTCTTCAAACTTTGTCTTCAACTTTAGAGCAAACAGAAGAATTGAACGGGTCAGTAAAATCTGAAAATGCTCAAAAAGAACAACTAGCAAATTCTTGTGATCTTTTAAAAGAAGAGGAAATGCATGCTGGTGTAGAAGTGGATTCCACAAAGCTGCAGGTTTATGGCCCAATACTGAAGATACCAAAAAGGGATACACTCTCCTCAGCATCTTGTCTGCCAGATGGAGGTTGTAGCGATATGAAGTTTGACGAGTCCCATCGGAAAAACGAGCAACAAGAGGTTGGGAAATCATCGCCTAACAATGTTGACAACTCTAAAATAAACTATTCGTTATTGCCCAAAGATGAGCCTCTTACTGCAAATGAATCTAAGCTGGATTCGACAGCTCATGCTAGTCAAGAAGTCATGCTTGGCAATGATAATCTCACTGTCCAAAACAGGACGAGTTCCCCTGCATCGTCTGTGTGCACAGAAGAGCTTTTTGAGAAAAGTGACTCCGATGAACTGTTGAAGCAGTTCGAGGAGCTTGCCCTCACCACCGAGGAGCATGAGCTCCTTGAAAAGATTGAGTGGAGGATGTGGATGGAACGTCTTGCTGGAACTGGGCTCGAATTTCTTGTCAAGGATGACCCAGTATCGAGTAAGGAATTTGAAGACGAACTTGATAGCGACATCGACATTATACTCAAAAACGTGAGGGAAACTATTTCTTTGCAAAAGCAAAATATTCTGCTGAAAAAGAATGCAGAGGAGTTGCAGATGACAATAACGACTAAAGCAAATGACGCTGACAGTGATCATGTGGTTGAAAATCATTCTGGAAAAATGGTGGACTGCTCAGGTGGAATGGATACCTCTGCCAGCTCTGACGTGCTCAGTGAACATAGTAAGCCTTGCTTGGTTGAAGAGGTGCAAGATTTCGATCAAGAGGTGAGTTCACATTTCGTATTTTCATGAATAAATTGTCTAACTAATGATTTGCAGTTTTGTTTGCTAAAGTTTGCTGTTTAACTTCTTTCTTAATAATTGAGTCAGCTTTATAACATTTTGTATAGTACATTTCACTTTTTTTGCAGGAGAGCAAAGTAGGCTTGGAACCTGCTGATGTGAGCCAGCCAGCGAACAACTATTTGATGGCACAAACTGACAACAAAGAAGAACTAATCGTTTCTACACTAGGCTGGGCTGAACCTGACGAAAGCAGACCATTATCTAGCGCGCACATGCTGCACTGGAGCTACTGTCGCATGACCAACCACTTGCTGGACCCGACGCGTGAGAGCTTCAAGTGTCCATTATGCAATTATAAAAGCCCTAGGAAAGGCCACGTGGAGCGGCACATCCTCATCCACTCGGGCGAGAAACCATACAGTTGCAGCGAGTGCAACTACCGCAGCCACACTAAGGACGCCATGGCGCTGCACGCTAGGGTTCATTCGGGACATAAGAAGTTCATTTGCTGTCGGTGTAATTACGCGACTAACAGAAAAATTTATCTCGAGAGACACTTAGCCTTGCATGACAATGATCCAACACCTTGCAGTAGGTGCACAGAGAGACCTCTCACAAAGAAGCGCGATCGTGTTTTGGATGAAGCTATTGACGTAGAGGCAGTGTTGAACTTGCAGGGAGAGCTGGAGGCACCTGTCACCGCCGCCGAGTCTGACTCTGAAGGTGATGAGCCCTCCGCCTCTTCACTGCCATCAGAAGAGCTCGACAACAACAACGACTACACTCAACTGCTCGCTTGTGTCAAGGAAGAGTTTGATGCTTCACAACTTGGAGAAGATATAACTTTGTGTGGTTGTCAGCTGTTTGCTGCCAAATCTCCAGATCGCAAGAAAGGACGCGTGTACAGTTCGGATCGACCGTATCCTTGCTCTCAATGCTCCTACCGCGCCACCAAGAAGTCCTTGCTTGACAAGCACGCTAAAGTGCACACGGGCGAACGGCCGTTTCCTTGTCCGTTGTGCAAGTATAAAGCCTCGCGAAAAGCACACCTTTTGCGTCACATGCGAACTCATCAGAAGGAACTCGAGTGAATTAGCCTGCCTGGAAGTTCCTAAGAAAGTAACGAAGATTCCCATGGAAGAACAGTTGAGTAGTTTTTCTTTCGAGTGGTCGCAGGGATTATTTTCGCTGCCATGGACTTGGTCATTCAGTCAGAACTCTTCTCTCTGCCAAAGTGTGAAACGTCTGAACTAATCTGACAACGATTTTCGTCCGTTGAATGATATATTTAGTTGTACTTTATAGTAATTTTCTATTCGTGCTCATAGTAATTTTGTACTCGGGATCGTTGTGATAGCTTGCAAAAGACGCATGTGTAATAGAACGACCCACCGCAGTCGCATGGTCGATGGCCTATAATAAATGGAGGAAACGGCGGCGGTGATGACTTTATCTTATTGGCATTATTTCTAGTCTACGTTTTTGCAAAGCTTTTGAAGTACGATTTTTATATTCTAAACCTAAGAAAATTAGAAGAGGCCAACGATAGCGGAGTAGCTACGAAATAGATTTGTAAGCTTCACTCGGTGCGTCCTTTTAATCTATTTAGGTAAGATGGTTACAATGATGGGAACATTTTGCCTGCTGGAAGATCCAGGCATTTATATTTTTACTGCACTATAAGTTATGAAATCAGGCACTAAATTTCGATTGTTCCCAACCTTCTAAAATTAACAGTGTAACGGAAACTGCAAAGCCGTTGCTATTTTCGTTCACTCTTGGAGGATATGAATATGCAGCACCATATGAAAGTTTAGCGTAATGCTGGACGTTTGCAGACGGCAGGTTGTTGCGGGTTTAACATTATTTTGTCATCTATGGTATGCCCAATAATTTTCAGGGCTTCTTCTTTACTGGGTTGCCGCTCGACCCTATAGGTCGATCACTACTAGTAGAGTGATTTGACTACCTACTTCTCGTGACTATTACTGATACTAAAGGCTTCAACCGTTGGTGGTGTGACTTTTATTTTATTAAATATCAGGAGATAATTCTAGGCATGTGATTTAAGTTTACGGGCGACTTCTTATACATTTAGATAGGTACAATACCAGCTTACCATCATTGCGCTTTACCTTACCGCCGACTAGGTAAACTTCTGTGGCTGGTACGTGAACTGATCTAGTACATTATACAGTATTGAAGTGCGGTGAAGAAGTCGCAATGTTGTGCAGAATTATGAATTTTTTACTTCTGTTTGATGGTACAAGGGTAAAATTCTCCGTCATTACTCTAAAGTTAGTTGGTGCAGAAATTCTGGCGGCAAGCAGTACAGAAAACTTGAAGAAAACCTCGATCGTGATTAATTTTTACCTTCAAAGGCTGGCAACAATAAAGGAATTTAAGTGTATTTTGCCTATAAATTAGAAAGCAGTGACGACATCGATTGCCACTGAAGTCATCCTCATTGATGGAATCTTCCCGTGCTCTTCATTCCTACCCATTGTTATTCTTATAAGTGTTCAATTGATCTAACGTGTGTCTGTCCAAAGATTATATCGTGATCTCAAATCTATTTCTCCATTGATTATTCTTAGGGTGATAATTATTATCACGATGATTATTAGGTGTAAGTCTCTGTACCATTAATCTTAGGGTCTCGGTGCGTGTGCTGTACAAACCCAACAGGAAAATGACGTTGAAACAACGTTTAATTAACGTTAATTCAACAAAACAGCGTTCAAATCAACGTCAAACACCTGGCGGGAACGGTCGCCTGGAGCGCAGTTCTTGCGTCTCTCGTCTATTGACAATCGCACTGCTGTCTCGTGGCCCGGCCAGCACCTCTCTTGTTGATGGTGCGTACTGTTTTGTGTTGCGTTATTCCACAGCCTTATTCGCTGCGGTTATCAGCTATTATAAATTTACAACAATTATCAAGAAGAAATTATGCTGTACGTGTATTAATGAGCTTTTTTATGAATTATTTCTCGCGTTATTTTCAGTTTTTCTGTTCAAATTTTGTTTGAGATGCTTAAAATATTTTACATAAATGTCTATTATTATGTGTTACATAGAATTTGAATTAGTTATTATAATGCTCTTTCATTATTACGAGGCTAAGTTCATGCAGAGTAATTTTGAGACCTTCGCCAGAATAGGAAGATGTTTCATCTCCGACATTGTACTTACCGGTGGAGAGGTTAGCTTATAATGCTTTTGTTACGTTCAAAATAAGAAATGGTTCACGTGCTTCGACTCGGCTTTAGGAATAACGATATCTTTCAGCGACAATTTTGATTTAATTTTGTATTAGGACAACTTGCTGCAAGGTCGTTGGAGTTAGAATAGGTGAGAGTGGTTACACTGCCACAAATAGTGGGTGTAATTTGCTGCTCGAGGAATGGCATGAGTTTATTTAATCGAGATCGTTTGCTTCGTTCTTTCAGTTGTAGAGCTTGAAAGAATATGGACGCGCAGGCCGTCATAAAAGACTTGCATGAGCCGAGATTTTGTGTCATTTGTCTCCGTAGTCCCGTTACTAGTCAATGTTTAATATTTAAGTGATGGTGAGTGTTAACTTAATGACCATTTTTGCCATTCCGTGTCTCCTCTTTGATTTAAGATGCCGGTGCTCTCAGCGCTCGACCTTCAAATAAATGACGAACTTTTACGGCAAGAATAACCAGGTTTAATTTCCAATGATACCACAACCGCTTAAACATTTTAAATTCGGAATACTGAGCTGCTGGAGCTTCACAAGTGCATCGCACTTCTGAGGAAGTTAATTCTCAGTAAGGCTTGTGGCCTGTCAAGTCTATTTTGTGAGAATCGCTGGTTTTGTCTTGAAGGCTGTTTACACGTCAGGTAAAGTCGTTTACAACTGTATTGATATAGTTTGTTTTTGTTACGAAGCAAGTCTAGTTCAAAGACAGCTTTTTTTGAGCATAAACTAGGAAAGTCGGGAGTTGGATGATCGTATTACTAAATTAACTGTCTCTCGTTTCAAACAGCTTTTATATGGATGAATTCATGTTGTTAGCTATATTGCATTTTTTGTTGAAATTGTGCTGTGCAGTTCACAGTTCTCGGAGACGTCGCTCAGGATTAGCTCACGCTGTTGAATTGCTTGAGTCAGTGGCACTCAGTGCTCCTACATGTTCTTGGAAGCCTTCAATACCACAAATAAGTACTTGTACGAAACCTCTATTTGGTGCTCTTTGTTGTTAGTTGTTCGCTGTTCCATGGAGGTTGTCCACTTTAAATTAATCTACATATGGTCTGAATTCTTTCGGCACCAGCACCACGTATCATTCGTCAGTGTTTTGCTTCACTTCGCTCACATCAAAGTTGCTCTGAAATTTACCCCATTTTCCCCGATATTTCTTCCATTTACTCATGTTTACCGCCTAATGGGGTAGTTGTCAAGATTATTTTGATGTCATATTTGAAGCTGGTTTGTAATTGCTATACTAAATATCGAAGTTCAAGGTTGTGTTTCGACTTTGCAATATCTCTATATTCTGTGTCAGAAAGACATCACTCGGAAACAATCTATTGATGAGGTTATAATCGCCGCTTTCGATATTCTGTATTTAGAATTTGAGAAAGTATATTGAGAAAAAAGGTGTTGGTGCAGTGCCATGCCAAGAAGTATGCTAAGTCGAGACTCGACTTCAGGATCCTGCATCTTACTCTCAATTCGTGTGAGCAGGATTCCTACGCTGCGAAATTCCACCTCATTGTGAGGAACATCCGTGTCCGTTGGATAACATTGCAATAGCGCTTCTCCGCTTATAACGATGTGTTAAATGGCGAAGTTATCTCAGCCTTTGGCAAAATGGTCTCGGTACTGAAGGTTATTACTGGATTTTAACTGAACAAATCCTGCATTATTGGAGTTTTGAACCACTTCTAATACTTGTTAGTTTATTAAGCCAAACGAAGGACGCAACCGAAAGGCAATAAGTATGACGGGGTCTCACTAGAGTCCCGGGCCGTATGCGTCGCGCTGTGCCGTCTTATTTCTAAGGTTCTTCGAGCGTAAGTGAAACTAAATGTGATCTCTGTTGCATTGTTTTAAGTAAGTAGCACTGAACGAGTCAATTGTTTGCATAAGTAGCACTTTAAATTGTTAGTCTTAGTCCGCCGAATCTATGTCATTTACCTCCAGTTTTTGTCTTTGAGGTCAGAAAATGTCGACTGTAATGCTCCGTGTGTGTGAAGCCTTTTCTTTTTCTTTATTTCTGCGGGCTAGCCGACGTATGATACAAGGGCTGCATTAAACAATATTGGGATCAAACATCAATATTATTAGTCCGGTATCGGAATTAGAATGAAATGGAAGAATAAACAACCTGATTCACGTCATTTATTTACTATTAACAAACAAATAATGATAAATAAAATCACGCATGTATTCACGCAAACTTTTTTAAAGTGAGAGTTGTTTTCACGCAAACTTTTTAAAGTGAGAGTCTTATCAGAGAATTGTTTTTCAAAAAGGATAAAACGATTATATTTATCGATTGTTATAGATTGAATAAAGTTTATTGCTTTCAGTTCATTAATGTTGCATGCATTACAGTTCTTATTTGACTTTCACTGCCACAAACGACAGTGGAAATGTATAAGCTAAAATTTATTAATGAAACCAACAAATAGTTTTTTTAGTTTGTTTTTTAAAAAGACACTAAGAACATAACTACCAAAGATGAGGAAAAATCCGCAATTGTATTGAATTAACATCGTTGCTATTTATGTTGAGATTTTTCAAAAATTGATTGATATACTATATGTATTTGCAATACTTTTTAATCATCATAACTGTGATTTATTAAGTACCGTAGGATATTAGCTCTGTGGATGCGTCATCGCTAACAAAGCTCCTCATAGCCCCCATGTAGTAGGTTGGTGAGTGGAGCTCGGCATGTCAGTTCTAAGCTGGACGTTTTGAGGCCATCATTCCAGGTGTTGGCCATTGCGACGATGAAGAACCAAAAGGATACATGTCATTCTTGGTGCGGTAGCTGGACGTTTTGAGGCCATCATTCCATATGTTGGCCATTGCGACGATGAAGAACCAAAGGATACATGTTATTGGTGCGGTCTCGATGTCAGTGCGGAAGCTTTCGTGGCGCTGGGTGCGGGAGTCGCTTGTCTGCTGTGGGTTTAACATTCCTCGTCACTCTTGTTGTTTTTATCTTTCTTCTCTTCTTCATCTCGATCTTCATTCAGTGTTTCCAGAGATTTCAAATAAAACCTATTGAATGTCTTTTCTGAGTTTCAATCGTCGCTTTAAAAGCATATTCTATAACGTTTTGAACAATTCTGACATACGATTAATTTCATTACAACCGGATCAAAGGCAGTGAAGTAAAATTTACGAGTAAAAAATTTATTCAAATGAAAAGTGGCTTGTATTCAAACATGAATTTGAATTAATAGAGCCATTACCTCTAGCGTAAGACGATGTAATTATTAATTCTCTAGATGTTAATGAATGGCTGGAACCGCATCAGCGGAAGTCACCGCGGCAAATGAGGAAGAAGAGAGCGGTTGAGTCCACCAGCTGAACGCCAGCCTCGTGGTTCATGCTGTGAGGAATGCCTAATTTAAATGAATTCACCATCAAAGAAAATGTAAAAATTTTAGAGATTTGAAGCGGAAAATTTCAAATAAGATTATAAGAAACTAAATTTACACACTCGAGTTTTAATTGCCAGCCAATGGGCTAACGCACTTCCAAGAAGAACTAAAGTGGTGGTAAAAGAAGATGTTACTTGTAGGTGGACGCTTCGGACGGAAGCAAAGAAGCTGANCGCCTATAATAAAAAAACATAGATTTGAGCAAACTTGACAAGACGAAAAAAGTTCAGCTCTCATACGGAAAATTTCATTTGAATCTTTCAAAATTCAAAGGTCATATTATCGGAATGTTTTCACTGGTCGGAAAGCAGTCAAAACCTTTTGAGGGATTTAGTGCTTCAGTTAGGTAGAGTTTCAGAAAAAAGGTGCTGACCGCACCATGGTGGAGACCGCGCTAGTGGGAAAACCACGCCATGGAGAAGACAGTACCAGACTAGTCCTACGTAGGTACTAGGTACCAACCACTCCTGAGGCACCTATCAAACTTGGGCGCAAGAACCTCGCCTGGTGAGGCCAACCACGTACCGGATATGAGATGGCCAGAAAACTTAGTCTTGATGTCGAGTCTTCTTAGGATAAATGCAGTAAGATTCGTGATGACTCGGTAGCTGGCCGAGACCGGCTGCTGTCCCTGGAGTTTGCCACAACAAACATCTCACTTTAACGGTCAGGACAACACTCCTTTACGGTAGTCTACTAACTTCTTTATTGCGAACTCCTCATTTTCCGGAAACCAGGCTCCGACCTAAACTATCCTACCAATAAACTTACCCTAGATTGGACTTGGAAATTTTGTCTTATTTTTGTGCAACAATATCAATAAATAAAGAAAAATGAGTAACGTAGGGACATTTTCACAGCTTTTATGGAAGCCACTATATATGTTTGCTTGACAAGTTACATATAATTACTTGTATAGGAAAGAAAATTTAGCCTGAAAAATATTGTGCTAGTTTTATATACATAGGCAAACGTTAATCCAATTGCAGACCAGCCAGTGGAGCCGCCATGCAGGCAGTGGAGCCGCCATGCAGGCCAGCCAGTGGAGCCGCCATGCAGGCCAGCCAGTGGAGCCGCCATGCAGGCCAGCCAGTGGAGCCGCCATGCATGCAGGCCAGCCAGAAACGTTAATCCAATTGCAGACCAGCCAGTGGAGCCGCCATGCAGCCAGTGGAGCCGCCATGCAGGCCAGCCAGTGGAGCCGCCATGCAGGCCAGCCAGTGGAGCCGCCATGCAGGCCAGCCAGTGGAGCCGCCATTTGATGAATACTACAAATTTATAAGAGAACTTCTAACTCTCATCCGCAAATTGTATGCAGATTAAGATTCCAGATTACATTTAAGTTTAGATACTTTAAAAGTTCTGTATTAGTGAAGCGAATGCTTATGAAGAACTTAATGGCATCAGAACATGCATTCTGTGCGACCCTAATGCCAGGCCCCTACCTCTATATCCAGGAGCGCTTATGCATATATGCACGCTGAACTCAGCTGCTCATACATACATATGTATGTATGAATAATCATCATACAGCGGCTCCTCTTGTACTGGCGGCTCCTCATATACTGAGTATATGCACTCAGCGTGCATATACTCAGTATATGCACGCTGAACTCAGTGAATGCTGAACATTCGTGCATTTCTCTAACTCTCGCTTCAGTTCGGTATTAAATCTCGCTTAAAAGAATTGAAAATCGCCTGTACTCTCTCATTGCTGCAGTAGCACAGCACTTATATACGTTTTTAACAACAAAAATAACTAGCATGTACAGCAAAACGCAACATAGCTAAACAGTTCTGGTGGAAATCGGCAAGGTGCCGCGTGAGTAAGAATCCTAGACAGGCCAACATGGCCTGATGAAAGCCAACTCAAATATGCTGTATGTGATTTAAATTATAATTATGCTGCGCGAGAGTTGAATAAAAGCTACAAATAAAATACATGTATCTCGACGTCGGTAGTTTGTACACCCAAAAACTACTTACTATTGGGTGAAATTTCAGTTGCTGAGCCCAGTAATACTAAATTTTGAAACTCAGTTCGGGAGGCACTCGATTTTTGCACAGGATTAAGTATGGCATATTCATACAAGCTAATTAGTTCAATCAGAGGCTTCAATTTCGTAACCTTTTAATTTACGACATTTCTCGAATGCAGTCACGTCACTTAGGGAAAGCCTTGTCGTCATGGCTGTGCTGGGCGCTCAGCCAATTCTTGGTGAGAAACTCCACATCATTAGGAATAAACATTATTTCCATCTTCCTAAAAAGTACACCAAATGCGTTAAGTGGGAAAAATGTTCAAACTAGAGGACAAGCTCCCTTCTACGCACGGTCAGAAGCGCGCGAACTTATTTTAAAATCGATTAAAGTCCCAGAATTTTCTTCTGAATGTAATCGAAGGTTAATTTCATAATTTCACTAATATAATTATTACTAGTAATTAGAATTTTAATTATAATAATATAAGGTCACCATGAGGTTTTAGTGCTGAGGAAAGTATGCATTGACCTTGTCAGATCTCGCATTTTGAGTGCTATTGGAGGGCAGAAATGCCGCACATTCTCGAATACCTCTCCTTTACATACACTATCAATTTGCATTCATATTTTAATAGATTCTATATTGGAGCCTTGATGACGTATGGCAGCTACATCTCTCTGAGAAACTTGTACAAGCGGCAAATTAATTTAATGTAAATAATAATGTTCGCATGTTAAATGGTACTAATTGTTCTTGGGTCTCCACCATATTGAAATACTACGTAGAAAGGCATAATGAGCTACTCAAATTAAAATGAATACAAAAATAATCGGATTATGCTTCAGATTCCAACGATTTACAGGGCTGTGTTTTCGTTGTGGCGCTGAATCTCAAACCCATCCGTTCATTAACTTTGTAATTTTATAAAATATCCTGCTGAGCAATCGAATGAAAGGTTTTGTCATGAGATTTAGAATTTACGTGTTGTACCGAGAAGCAATCACAGACCTCGTCTAGGGTTTTCTCGGTCAATAGTCTACAGGGAAGATGGGAAAACGTGCCCCCTGTTCTCTTCTCACCCTCACGTAATGCAGCGCCCCCCGCGGTCTCCCGGTTGGCAACCCACCAGCTTTTCAGCGGGCCGCAAGGCTGCCGTCTCAGTCTCTACCAGTGTGCTGCTATCACTGCTCCTGCTTCTGCTCGCTCTCAGGCTTCTTGTTTATCTTGGTCAACTTCTTCGTCGAATCCAAGAGTTTTCCAAATTCTGCATTCAAAAGAAGAAATCTTATACGATCAAGTTTTGGATTTATGAGAGAGTTATTCTCAGTATTCGTCTGGTTCCTTCAATAGAAGGTGAGTGGGCGAGAAGTGGCCAGACGTCTAGAGGAGTATCTTCGTTTCTGGCACGCGATGCGTAGGCGCTAAAGTCGCATTTAATCTCGGCTTCTTTAAGCCGGCTTTGGGTGCTCCATTGAACCACAACTGTGAATTACGAACTAAGATATTTATAACTTTCACAATATCCCTCTATCACATTGTAAGCAGTGAAAACGAGTTGCCTTGGGCGCGCATGTTGCATAGAAGCCATAGGAGTGTGATTTTTAATTATATTTGGGGCGGGCCATTTTAGACATAATTTTGACAAGTATGAATGGAGAATTAGTATAGTTTTTCCCTATTTGTATGCGGATAACTAGGAGTGAAGTGATGCAAGCAACGCCTCAAAAGAAGTGACAACAATTCCTAGTCTAATGAAAAATCGATCTTTATTCTGCGGTTATAGAATTGGTTTCTGAATTTCAATGAAGGTAGAATGAACACAATAATTTTATAATTTTGGTCATAAATTGCTCAGGATAATATGGACGATTACTGTCATGACACACTTGCATATCGGCAGAGCTCATTCGCTCTTGTGTAATAGCTTTGGTAGGTTTTAATCAATTAAATTTAATAAATTTTATTGTGATTAAGAATTTCTGTATTCCGGAAGTTTGATTCAGTGACTGAATTAAGGATCTCTGAATTAAGGAAGTTCAACGCAGAGAAAAAAGCATTTCTGAATTCAAGAAGTTCAATGAATTGGGTGTAGAGTATGAAAGCATGCAAGTAATTGATACGGTATTAATTAAGCAATATTCGTTAATGGCTTACTAGTGTCACTTATTAGTTCGACCCTTACATGCCCCCGAGCATGAATATTAGTGCGCCTCAGTGGCAGCTGATGATTCATGAGCTGTTTTTGACAACAAGCAACAGCTGGGCAGCAGGTGGCGGTATGATAACTAGTCAGGTGCCACTGGCAACTAGTGAGCTGACATCTGGCAACTAGTGATCTGATACCTGTCAACTAGTGAGCTATAAATGACAGCTGAAAACCAGCGAGCTATAGATGACATCTGAAGACGCTGAAAAACGTGGAGCAGGAAGATTTACGTACGAATATTTCAGAAGCAGGAGAATTTGGTGCAGGGTTCTCTGCTGAAAGTGTCATTGAACTTACTATGAATTTTTTTTTGGGCTGGCTTTTAGAATCGCAAACGATGATAAATATCTACGGATTTAGGAACGAAGATTTGGATACCTACGTTGAATTTCATGTTTCTCAGTTACACCGAATAGATCGTTCCAAGTTTGCTGGAGACGATAAGGATCAGTATAACGGATTATGGTTTTTATTCAAACCATTGAAGCATAAAAAAGATTTTCGATTATTTTTTTGTCATGTAAGTTGTTTTGCATTATTTCAACAGCAAAAACCAAGAGTTTATTCGTTAAATGGAATCAGCAAGCTAGTTTATTTCAATTGGTATTTTTATTCTAGGATTTGTTCCACATTCGTTTATATGTTTTCATCTTGGCATACAAATTCATCAAACAACTGGCCGTTTATTTGAAGCAAACAACGGAAATCAAGTTGGACGAGTATTATGAATTAAAACAGCGAAAAAATAGAATTCAAGCATGATTGAAGACCATAAAGATATTTTTCGACATTTTATTGTTCACGGATAATGTTTTCGAGCATTGATTTACGCTTCGTTGTTAATCGCAAATAATTAATCATTAGACATCATTATTGTACAACCTCTCAAAGGCCTTTCATTCATTTGAAACATTTATTAATATTCCGCATGAATATTTACATGTTATTAAATTTGCACAGTTTATATGTATTGGCTGATACATTTGTGAAAGTTTTCTTCAACAGCTCTATGAACGAAAGGAAAATGACGGTGCAGTCGAGAATGTTGGTCATGGTGCGCAGTTAGCGAACGTAATCCTTGCCTGTCATGACACTCGAAATGATACTATAGTTATAAATATTCGAATAAAACATATAAATGATTCGCTAATCCAACATCTACATTGTACCAAACCCAATAAAAACTATATTCACACAGTTGAATCGGTGAAAAAACTGTATGAACGATCGATCGACGAAAATCGTGACAGAAATAAATAAAACACGTAGAAACAAATTTTCCCCACGAAACTGAACACAAGGAAAAGGAACTAAAGGATTCATCACCGACCAAGACCCGTTGGTTCAGGCAGAGAGGTTATAACTTTGACCTTAAGCAATGCCATGCCAACGCAAAAACGTTCGCAATTAGTTAACGGATCCCGCGTCACACAATCCTATCATGCAAGAGTCGGTTTACATAGACAGTGTAAACCGACTGCACCGAATAGGTGCAGTTCCGCACCTATTCTCAAGGCGAAAAAATGCCTCTATATGCTGACGATATCGAGACTTAGTGAAATTAGTTAGGGGCTTCATAGTATGCTGAAATGTACGATCAACTAAGGCAAGAATTTCAGGAATGCGTTTAGGGGCAAGCAGATAGAGCCAAGTGATAATAGTAAAGAGTTAATTAGTAGCTAAGTGATATGAGGGCAGAGTTTGACAAAGTTAATTAACAAGAATAAAGAGTTTATAAAAAGAGTCTATTATAGCCAAGTTATAATAGTATAGAGTTTATTAGTGTTAATTAAATTCTGAGGACGCAGATAGAGAAGGTCTACCGGAAAGACCTGTGATCGCGTTGACTTAGGGACACTCCCCTCAATACTTGAGAGTGTTTGTGGATGTGAGAGCATAACTGGCAAGATACCAAGAGCTACCAAGTCCTAGGTATCACTCAGAAAAATGAATGGGTGACTTTGTGGAAAAAGTGACAAACGTTTTTACCCACAGCACGAGCAGAGAGCGCAAGCACTGATACACATTTTTGCCCATAGCAAAAGATGAACAGGTGACCCACTCAAAGGCATAAATTAAGTGCATCGATATTAGGACAAAGTCTCACTCATTTCTCTGGGTGATACTGAAGAGAAATATGTGACAGGCATGGCAGTTCGTCATTGGTAGAAACTGTGAAAGAAAGGAACGGATGGCGGAATTCCCTTAAAATACATGTATAGAATGTCAAATAGAATGCTCGCTTCTATATTTAAATGTTTGAGTAGACAGCGATATTTCAATCGTCACGGAATAATATTTAATTAAATAAATTCTTCTTAGTCAGTTAATCTATTCGTTGTTCATTAAAGTTACTTCTTGAAAGTCAGCTTTTCCCTTGACAGATCAATTTAAAACCGTGCTCATGTCGAAGTTGATCGTCAGCTAGTATTGGTGTGAGGCCCAAAAATGTTTTATAATTACAATAATACCTCTTAAAATAGGTGATAGCCCTTAATGTACTATATGTTTCAACGATTCTTTTTTACTGAAAATAATCTCATTATTATGAAAATAATCACATGTTCTCAAGATTACTCCTTATTAGACAGGTTCAAATCTGATACTGAAACACACGCAAATACCAAACGGCTACGTTATCGTACCTGCTTACTGAGGCATATAGGGGCTCTATGGAGGATGTGTTGTTCTGAACCACTACCATCGTCCTCCCTTGGAGGTTTTTACTGCACGCCAAAACAAGGCGCCTTGTCAATGCAAGCTCTGATCACTAAAATTAATAATTATTCTGGCTATCCATTTTATATTTTTATGCAAGTGTAAGAGGTTAATTGAAAGATTCTGTTTTAATTATGAATATTTGAATTTGACGAGCAGGATCTAAGAAAGTGGATATGTTAAGCGCAAACATCCGTGGCAAAGTAATATTTTCCAAATCTGCCTCCAATTGATCTCGTACGTAATTTATTTTGTTAACAGTGAGATGGATTACAGGTTTTTAACAATGTAGCCTTCGTATCTTATCGTCCAAACCTCAAGTAACTAGAAGTCATGTATTGAATATTACCCCATATTCAATGCTTCAATTACCGTGAAGCACAAATTTTTTCTAACTAACTTCAGGTTTTATTAATTTCGGATTTGCACACCTTTGTAAACGGAGATATTTTTGTATTGATTGACTTAACTGTTTCACAGTGTGCATTGATAAAAATCTTATTTTCTCTAAAGCCAGACAAATAAGCAATTTAACTTTTACACAGATTTAAAAAATGATTCGAGAGCAAATTTGCTGTCAACGAATATATATATGCTAAGAGGTAAACTAAATTTTCTGAAAACCTTTCAAGGTTCTCAAATTCACTCCATAAAATAAAATTTTGATGCAAAAACGCTCTCATTGGTCGTAACATATATTCTAAATTCATCTATAATTGCCAAATTTGATTACAAAAATGAAGTTAAATCAAAGATTAAATCAAACGCAAAACCTCGGAGTTATCCTCAGTCTTTGTACTAACAGACAATTCAATTCTCATTTCCACGACACCAAACAATAACCGATGACGCTAAACAGAACGGACAATTGCAGTGACTGATTTGTTTTGGTTATGAAGCCATCCATCGTCTGTGGTAGCATTTGTCTCTTTCATCACAATTTATGCCAAATGCCCAAATTTGTCACCAATTTTTATGCGGTAAATTTGGTAAAATTTAGAATATACTTCAATCGTCACTTTACTTGCATCTATCACTGTACCTGCTGTAGCATCTATCACTGTTGTACCTGCATATCTATCACTGTACCTGTATATGTCACTGCACTTGCATCTGTCACTGTACTTGCATGTGTCACTGTACTTGCATATGTCACTGTACTTGCATATGTCACTGTACTTGCAGCGAAATTCTACAGTAATTTGACTTTTCGTTTACTCGTCTTGCAATTTTAATTGAAGGATCATTTTAATTGTACCTGCATTGAACTTGCAGCTCTCATTTGCTTGTGTCATCGTATTGTCGCGACTCACAGACATGGGCTATGAAAGAGCTTGGAGCCTTAATTCTGCTGTTATTTTTCGTAACCCTTGCATTCAGCCGCATAACTGAATTTTGAATTTCATATGAATATTTCATAGTATTGGTATCACTCATCGTAATGGGACTTTCCATGTAGCTTGAGCTTTCAGTGTACGCGCCTGCTTATTGTGCTTGTATATAAATTCTGGCATTTGCCTCGCTCATAATACTATATAAGATGTTTCAGTGCAATTGTCTTTATTTTGAGCTTCTTATGGACATTTTTATTTCATTGGCCGCACAGGAAGAGGATGAGAGAGTGACTCCCTCACCCGGGCCATGAGGCACGCTCAGGCCTGGGGATTATGCTGTTTATAATAACCTAGTTTTTGTACAGGTGAGTTCTTCTTATTATTTTATTTCTGCGAGTTCTTTTTTTAGTGCATTTTACTAATGCTTCTAAGGTCTTCCTAATTGAGCTTTAAGTCGTTTCGTGTGGGAATATTTACTGCATGTGCAATTGTGCATACATTTGTAGTGTAAGTCAAGTTACAAGTTTTTGCATCGTATTTTCTAGAATGCACCCAGGGAACTCATCTTCTGGGCGAATTCAATGCACGAACCACAGAAAATTATCTTACTATACGATAATAGGTGTCACTTAACCAGTCGTGCCTGCAACCCAATTGAATATTTATTTAATAACAAGAAAACCAATCTCGCTCTTCTTCAAACAAAGATTTAAAGAACAGTGAGTATCTGTGACCTTGTAATCTGCCTTTCATTTATAAACTGAGTATCGAGTATTTGTGACTCTGCCTTTACATTTCTAGTGAAAAGTATTACTTTAAAGTGATCGGACCAGGCAAACATTATTCCTTAGGTAATAACTCGACATTATCCCGTCAAGTAATTTATGACTAGAGTTATGGGCCGCGAAAATACTCTCGTGGGCCGCTTTAGTTCATGAGTCAGACCGTTGTCCCATCAGAGCGCCTGACGTCGCACGTTAGTGTGTTCAGGGCTCAAAAAAGTCTCGGTCATCTAAACACACGACATTTATTTTCTTGGTTATCACATTTGCTTCTTTATCATGTCTTCTAAATTCATCACGCCTCAAGTCATCGATAATAATAGAGTAGCTTTTTAGCTAAGAGTTTTTCAACGGTGACTCACCATATGCCCTGTACGGACACCACCATGTTAGCTTGGGGAAAAATTTTTGTTAATGATAAAAATTTTCATTAAATATGAACCAGCATGAGCTAATGCACACGGTATAGATAGACAGAAAAATGTTAATATGGTTTGAAAAAGTGTTATTTTTGCAACAATCTGAATTTATTGAGGAATGTATATGCCAGTTATACGAGTGAAGCGTATCTATGGGAGCGTATCTAAAAAAATTGAAATCATACGCCAATACTAACTAATATAAAGGCTTCAGAAGATTACAAAAAGAAAACATGATTTAAATTCGTAAGTAATGCTTTACCTCACCGCGTCTTGAAATTCTCGAAAAGTTCGGTCGGTCGACAGAAGTCGTACTTTCGAGTACAGACTCCTGGCAGAAGAATCAGTCATAGGTCGACGCTACGCATGCTAGACCAACTTCAAAACTCGCATGCTACACCAACCTCAAAACTTAAATATTCAACAAAATGATACAGATGAATTTCCAATATATCTACGAGTAATCCAATTATCTACATAACAAGAAACAGAGATTGACATTTCAATCCGTAGTATAAGTTTGTTTTCGGGTGCACGCCTTTAGCTTACAGAAATGATGATGTGGCTGCTAACGTGATAATGCTAGGATATTTTGTGCATGTAGTGACCAAATATGTTTGCATGCACTGATGAGTCAAGCTATTTTTTTTGCATGCCTGATTGCTTGCATTTGTGGTTAAAGTTCAATCAAGTTGGCTTTGCACCTCTTAGCTTCATTGCGGCGTCGCTGCCGCCCCGATGCAGGCAGCAGAGCTGGCAAGACAAGCGCAGCGAGAGGCGCGCTAATTTTAACCTAACTGACGACCACGCAGCCTCTGGCTCACTTCTCAGGGCTACTCGAGTTTCCTGACACACTTACATCAAATCCGGTCTTTGATTAACTAGTTGTGGCACAGTTTTGTTTTGTGCAGTGCTCAAAATTTTGTGTTGTAAAACAACTTCATATTTTTAGGATGATATGAGTTCATTGACCCGTGTCCAATGAAACCTCTAAGTCTCATGAGTAAACTTAAGAATACATATACATTTGACCATAGAGTTTTGGTTAGGTTCGTTTGATACAATTGACAGAATAATTATGAAGTATTTCAAGAATTCTTCAATGAAATCTGTTGCAACAAGTGTGTCTACAAGCAAATATATTCTTGAACTGTATGACTAATATTGACTATTTTTTACGAATGATAAAAGGTAAATTGTAGTCTAGATGAAAACGAATATAGTATAGGTCTTTCAATATACAACCAATACCAATCAATACCAATACAACCAAATTCAATACCAATACAACAATATTGGCAGTCTTTCAATATACAACACGACACTTGACATCACAAATTAAAAATCCGAGAGACAATCAAACATAAAATACCGTGCTTCCTAAAGTCGCTGCAAAAAGTTCATGTACCCGGGTGGAGAGCACCCAGTGGACTACAACGGGTCGAATTTAGCTTCTATTCGAGTTCTTTGAAAGAAATTAAAGAGAGGCATGGAAGGCCCACCGTCTAAATTTGTGATGGAAGGTATAATATAAGGGCTAATAAGGGGTGAAAGTTACAATGTAAAGGCTATTAAGTGACGGAAGTTTCAATGCAAAGGCTATTAAGTGACGGAAGTTACAATGCAAAGGCTATTAAGAGACGGAAGTTACAATGTAAAGGTTATTAAGTGACGGAAGTTACAATGCAAAGGCTATTTAGTGACGGAAGTTACAATACAAAGGCTATTAAGTGACGGAAGTTACAATGCAAAGGCTATTAAATGACGGAAGTTACAATGCAAAGGCTATTAAGTGACGGAAGTTACAATGCAAAAGGCTTCTCACACTTGTTGTCATCGTGTACATCATGAACCGCAGCGTGTCACTATAATACTTCATATTAGCTGTAATAAGTATCATTAGTTGCATGGTAATGAGTTATTAGCCGCATATTATCTCGATGAATATGTTAATAATGAGCATGTTAGGTATGTTTGCTGTAGGGCCGCTTGGGTCAAATGAGTGTGAGTGTGGCAAGAGGTGCATATCAATGCCCGGCCATTTTGCTTTAGGATGAAAAAATTAGTCATAAGTGAACAATAACCAGCTAAAAGTGTTGATGACTCTAAAAGTGTACTCGTATACTGCCTGATAGGCTCTCTGCATATGTGCAATGGGAATCAAAACTTGGGAAATACTGTTGCAGGCTGACCTGCTTCGCATGAAGCGTCGAATAAGTTAACCAATACTTATTGTAATATCAGGCTTCAAGGTGTCAAACCATTACAGATAGGCTAACAGGTCATCAGGTTAATATCCTCCATTAAAATTTATTTCCATATTCTTCAGTCAATAAGGTTTGAGGTAACATGGAAATCTAACTTTATGAAATCCACAATCAAGCATTACGAGTGTGAAATTTTTAAATTTGTGAAAGAATGATAATAACGAGCTATTAAGAAACAAAGATATGAAGAAACTACGTTGGAAAAATCGAATAAAAACGCAAACGTTGTCTTACGAGAAGACGTAAGAACGAAGAACGTTCATTGTAAGAACGAAAATCTGTGGCGTAGCGAGGGCAGGGAATGCGTGACGTCACTGGCCCCGTGCCACACGCTGTAGAGAATTGGGCTGTCGCCCCAAAGCTCGAAATAACTTTTTCTGTTCTGCATCCTCCATGTTGCATCTCTTGCTCATCTAGATTATGAGTTGCCATGCAGTCAAAGTTATAAAAAGGCTTCATTGCATTTATCTTGATATGCAATTAGCTGCATAAATGACTCATTGGCAGGCCATCAAATATGAATAAGTGGCGACAGAGTAGAAATTGGGTAAACACTTGGAAATTTAAACTATGAATTTAGTAGGAGCACCAGTCGCTGTGACTCCTACTCACTTCATTTAATGGCTGCAATGCACTTCAAATTATGAAACAGATTGAGATGCATTTACCTGACGAAATGTCACGAACATATCACAGCTTTGTTTGACTCGATACTTCCGTGGAATTGATCACTATCACATCAATGAACAGTTTTCTAACTGCCTTTTCATAATTGCAATACTTCCGTGGAAATGATAATTATCACATTATTGAAGAGTTTTCTAACTATCTTTCCATAATTGCAGAGACAATTTGAGAGGAAGGAAGGAAGATGTCGCAGCAACTCGAGCAATTGCTCACATGCTGCATTTGTTTGGACCGCTTCCGCAACCCGAAGCTGCTGCCATGCCAGCACTCGGTGTGCATGGAGCCATGCATGGAGGGTCTCGTCGACTACGTGCGACGACAGGTACTGCATTTAGGAACGCTATTTGCGTTTTATGATCATCATAAAGAATTTAAAAGCTAACAAAACCCCAAGGAAATTCAGAATTTACCGAAAAGGTAAAACTTAGAATATGCCAAGTTAATTCATCATAGACTACACGAAGAATTTACTTGTCGTTTCATTTGCTTTTGAATCGTTGATGAACTTGAGATTTCAGCAGACTAATGATATTAGTATTTATAGTGATATAAATATCGTACCACCTAACATATTAATATTGTTTCCTTGCGCCAAAGCGAATTACAAATTTGTTTCATTGAAGGGCGTATTCCGGTGACAATGTTTGTCATTTCGAATAATAATTTCATTGCAAGGCTGTAGAGCCTGCAAACTTTATTTAGAACATCTTTCAATGAAGTGTACGACCAAATCCCTTGTATTCAGTCAGAAAGAGCTGTCCAGAAAAAGATTAACCAAGTTGTGTACAATAACTTTAATGTACATCACAGCCTTGAATCCCATCGCATAATGTAAAACTTGAGCCAAAATACTAACGTTCTGTGAATGAATTAAAAGGAATTCTGTTGAATCCTTCATTCTGTATGTAAATTGCAACTATGCACGCAAACTTAGAGTACAAAATTGTATATAAAATTTTAGAGGAGATACCTTCGCATCCCGACGTGTCGCAGGTGAAGTGTCCAGAGTGCCGAGCAGAGCACCGCATCCCGTACAATGGCGTGCAAGGGTTCCCCAGCAACGTGACGCTCCAGCGGTTCCTGGAGGCGCAGCTCGAGATTACGGGCGAGTCGCCGGACCCTCACACTGGTAAGAGATCGAAGAATAAACGAACTTGTATATGAAACATACAGAGGGGAAAGAGATATTAAGAGAATTATTTGGATGATACGATATCATATCATCACCAGTTATTGAGTCCCTCACACCGGTGAGACCAATGAATCAACGCGGATTTGTACAAGGAAAACAATCGGAGAAACCAGATTGGAAATAATTAGCCAGGATGGCATTCCAAATTTCAGATTTTTATCTTATTTATGAGGGGAGTTATCTGTCGAATTCATAGTTAAGAATCTTCATAGACGACTACCGCGGCTGAGCGCGTTGATGCAGTCTTAATTAATTTTTGGATGATACTAATATCATAACGATCAAGTATAGCGCACGTAGGAAAAGAAAAGTAAAAAATAATAAAAGAATTAATTTTCCCATTCGCAATATTTTCTGATCAATTATACAGTGCTTCGAATTGCGCATAGGAATTGTAAGCCAAAATTTCTTCCCAATTTATGGAGACAGATCTGATTTCCCGACTATAGAAATAAATACTTCTTGCGTGCAAATTACTACCTTTATGGCTTTGAATTACGCATATTTTGAAGCGTAAAGACCTTGAATTACGCATATTCAGATGCATTAAGGACTTTGAATTACGCGTATTTCGATTGGCTAAGACTTTGAATTACGCATAGTTCGATGCGTTTAAACTTTGAATTACGAATTTTCCGATGCATTAAGAAATTGAATGACGCATATTTTGATGCACTAAGACTTTGAGTTATATACGCATATTTTTATCTGTTAAGACGTAGAATTACGCATGTTTCAATGCGTTAAGACTTGGAATTTCATTAATTAATTTTAGATGCTTTACGGCTTTAAATAACGCACATTACCACGCGTTACGGCTTTGAACTACGCACATTACGACAGTTTGCACCACTCGCAGGTCAGCTGATGGAGAGATGCGCCGTGTGTAACGAGAAGAACTACCTGGCGGTGTGTGCGCACTGCGAGAAGAAGGTGTGCGACGCTTGCAAGGCAGCGCACTCCGACCTCCTCAAGCGCGAGATCGGTAGAATCAATAACCAGGTAAGTGATAAACTTAATTAATGGTATTAATTGAGACATTTATTCATCTAGTTCAGTGTAATAATGACATTAATAAAATTATGTATCAATAGGCACAACGAATTTGGTTGATAAACATGAATTACATCGTAGTACTTATCATTTTTACTGTAAAATTATTATTAGTAGCGGTACTTAGTTAAATTATAATTGTTTATGATCAATTATTTTGAGTTACTTGAAAGCATTTCATAATTAAACAATCAATGAGAACGGCTTACACAAGGAATGCGCTGAATAATATTTTAATTCCAACCTGAAGTCAATGCACCCAATTTCTGGCTCGAAATGACTTCATTGAAACAATAGTTAGTACTATTTATTATTAAATCCGTGTTAGGGTCTGAGGCGNAATATTACCCCACATTGAATGCTTCAATTATCACGAAGTTAAATTATTCTAACGTACTTCACGTTTTATCAATTTCGGTTTTGCACAGCATTATAAACGGAGATCTTTCTATTTATTGCTTGATTTAACTATTTCACAGTGTGCATTGATAAAAATCTCATTTCTTCTAAAGCCAGACAAATAGGCAATTAACTTTCATAAAGATGTAAAAAATGATTAGAGACGAAATCTTCTGTGAGCAAATATCTAAATGACAAATGTGAACTAAAGTTTTGAAAACTTTTCAACGTTCTCAAATCAATCCACTCATGCATAAAATATAATTATGATGCGAAAACGCTTTCACTGGTCGCAACATATATTTTAAATTCATCTGAAAGTGCCAAATTTTATTTAATAAATGAAGTTAAAATCAAAGATTAAATAAACGCAAAACCTGGGAGTTATTCTCCGTTTTTATTCTAACAGACAATTCAATTCTCATTTCCACGACACCAAACAATAACTGATGTCTCTAAATTAAACGGACATTTGCTGTGACTGATCTGTTTTGGTCTTGAAGCCAACCATCGACCGTGCAGGTAGCATTTGTCTCTTTCATTACACTCTTTGTCAAATGCCCAAATTCGTGACCAATTTTTGCACGGTAAATTTGTTAAAACGTAGAATATACTTTCATCGTCACTCTACCAGCATCTGTCATAGCGATGCATCTGTCACTGCACTTGAATCCGTGACTGTAGGTACTTGTATCTGTCACTTAATTTACTTTAATCTATCACTGTACTTGCATATGTCACTGTACTTGCATCTGTCACTTAATTTACTTGCATCTCTCACTGTACTTGCATCCGTGACTGTCTTGCATCTGTCACTGTACTTACATCCGTGACTGTCTTGCATCTGTCTCTTAATTTACTTGCATCTGTCACTGTACTTGCATCTGTCACTGTACTTGCATCTGTGACTGTCTTGCATCTGTCACTGTACTTGCATCCGTGACTATACTTGCATCTGTCACTTAATTTAGTTGCATCTGTCACTGTACTTACATCTGTGACTGTCTTGCATCTGTTACTGTACTTACATCCGTGACTGTCTTGCATCTGTTACTGTACTTACATCCGTGACTGTCTTGCATCTGTCACCTAATTTGCTTGCATCTGTCACTATACTTGCATCAGTCACTTCACTTGCATCTGTCACTATACTTGCATCAGTCACTTCACTTGCATCTGTCACTGTACCTGAATCTTTAACTAAATCCGTCAGTCGTTGAGCTGACTGTCAGTTTATCGCACTTCTATTCAGTTTACTTTAATCGGTAATTGCGGCGAAATTCTACAGTAATCCAGCTTTACTTATAGTTGTCTTGGTATTTTAATTAAAGGATCATCTTCATTGTACCTGCATCGAACTTGCAGCTCTCTTGTGCTTGTGTCATCGTATTGTCGCGATTTACAGTACATGGGCTATCAAAGAAGCTGTAGCTTTAATTTTGCTGTTATTTTTCGCAACCCTTATATACCGCCGCATAACTGAATTTTGAATTTTATATGTAAATTTCATAGTATTGGCATCACTCATCGTAATGGGATTTTACATGCAGCTTGATCTTTCCATGCAGTTTGATTTTTCCATGTACACACCTGCTTTTTGTGCTTGTATAAAAATCTTGGTAGTGGCCTCGCTCATAATACTAAGATGTTTCAGTGCAATTGTCTTTATTTTGAGCTTCTTATGGACATTTTTATTTCATTGGCCGCACAGGAAGAGGATGAGAGAGTGACTCCCTCACCCGGGCCATGAGGCACGCTCAGGCCTGGGGATTATGCTGTTTATAATAACCTAGTTTTTGTACAGGTGAGTTCTTCTTATTATTTTATTTCTGCGAGTTCTTTTTNTATTCAACAAAATGATACAGATGAATTTCCAATATATCTACGAGTAATCCAATTATCTACATAACAAAAAGCAGAGATTGACATTTCAATCCGTAGTATAAGTTTGTTTTCGTGTGCATGCCTCTAGCTTACAGAAATGATGATGTGGCTGCTTACATGATAATGCTACAATATTTTGTGCATGTAGCGACCAAATATGTTTGCATGCATTGATGGGTCAAGCGAATTTTTTTTGCATGTCTGATTGCTTGCATTTGTGGTTAAAGTTCAATCAAGTTGGCTTTGCACCTCTTAGCTTCATTGCAGCGTCGCTGCCGCCCCGATGCAGGCAGCAGAGCTGGCAAGACAAGCGCAGCGAGAGGCGCGCTAATTTTAACCTAACTGACGACCACGCAGCCTCTGGCTCACTTCTCAGGGCTACTCGAGTTTCCTGACACACTTACATCAAATCCGGTCTTTGATTAACTAGTTGTGGCACACTTTTGTGAAGTGCTCAAAATTTTGTGTTGTAAAACAACTTCATATATCAAAGGATGATATGAATACATTGACACGATTCCAATGACACCTCAAAGTCTCATGGGTAAACTTAAGAATAAATTTCCATCCGACGCGTTTCGCGTATCCAAAGAGTTTTAGCTAGGCTAGTTTGATAAAATTGCCAAAATAATTATGACGTATTTCAAGGATTCTTCATTGACATCTTGAGTAAATATCTTGCAACACGTGTGTCAACAACGAAATATATTCTTGAACTGAATGAATAATATTGAAGATTTTCCACGAATGATTAAAAGGTAAATTGTAGCCTAGACGTAATAATAATGAGAACGAAAATTGTAGCAAGATGAGGTTGGCGAGAGTATAGCGTTTGGACAAAATATTTGATTATTTGGCCGGTGCACATGCCAGAATAACGTCTTTCAATTTACAACACGATACTTTACATCACAAATTAAAAACCGAGAGAAAACAAATAGTTCATGTACCCTGGTGGAGTACACCCAGTGGACTACAACGCGTCGAATTCAACTTCTATTCGATTTCTTTGAAGAACATTAAAGAGAGGCCTGGAAGACCCACCATCTAAATTTGTAATGAAGTTATAATGTAATTGCTAATAAGGGGTGAAAGTTGCAATGTGAAGGCTATTAAGGGACGGAAGTTGCAATGTAAAGGCTATTGAGTGACGGAAGTTATAATGCAAAGGCTATTAAGTGACGAAAGTTACAATGCAAATGCTATTAAGTGACGAAAGTTACAATGCAAAGGCTATTAAGTGACGAAAGTTACAATGCAAAGGCTATTAAGTGACGAAAGTTACAATGCAAAGGCTATTAAGAGAGCCTGACCTAACCGCGCGTTGGCACCTGCAGCCAGGCCGAGGCACCGCTCATCACCGATGTCTTGTCCTTGCTCCACATCATGCGGCCTGTGACTGAACGGCGCTGTTGTGGTGGGCGCTTTGTGTCAAAAGCCGTGAAGATGCCCGGCTGCGTTACGCTCGGGAAGGTATATGAATCGCACTGTGGATTTGGGCTATGCTGACCTCTAGCTATCCACCCGCTCGCGGTTCATGCTGTGAGGAATGCAGGAATGCATAATTTAAATAAATTCGCCATCGAAGAAAATTTAAAAAATCGAGCGATTTGAAGCAGTAAATTTCAAATAAGATAATTGGAAACTAAATTTACACACTCAAGTTTTAATTGCCACTTTTGCCAGCCAGTGGGCTAACGCACATCCAAGAAGAATTAAATTGGTGGGAAAAGAAGATGTCAGTTGTAGGTGGACGCTTCGGACGGAAGCAAAGAAGTTGAAGATTAATACATTGAAACAAGATTAAGGTTGAAGCTATTTCGTGAAAAATCTAAATATAGAGCTCTAGCTAGTTTGGCATACATTTAGAATCGAATAATTGACGTTAAATAAATCAAAAGGACAATTGAAATTTGAAGAACCGCCTATAATAAAAAAACATAGATTTGAGCAAACTTGACAAGACCAAAAAAACTCCAGCACTCAGAAGAAAAATTTTGTCTGAATGTTTCCAAATCGAAAGGTCAGATTATCGGAATGTTTTTGCTGGTCGGAAAATTGCCATAACATTTGAGGGATTTGGTGCTTCAGTTAAGTCGAGTTTCAGAGTTCTGTTCAGAAAACTGAAGCGGGAGGTGTGCTGTGCTGAGCTCCCGTGACGAAAGCCGGCTTCGGCCTGCTGCCACGTCATCGTTCTCAAATTGGAAGTCCCCATGGATGCTGTGCTCGCTCCGAGGCGTTGAGCCTGCGAAGGAGCTACTGGCTAAAGACAAATAGGTACCTACCAATGCTCCTTGCATCCCACTGCAAAATGCTGTACAGCTGAGATGATTCGAGAAAAAATTTTTTGTGCGTCGCCTAGTCCTGACTGGCTTCGCCAGGTGTACTGTGTAGAACCGTTACTTTACAAAGATCTCAAGATAGCCCCATCTGTGGTTGGTGCCCCCAGGTGAGTGGTTAGTGCCCCCAGGTGAGTGGTTAGTGACTCCAGGTGAGTGGTTAGTGCCCCCAGGTGAGTGGTTAGATCCCCCAGGTGAGTGGTTAGTGCCACCAGGTGAGTGGTTAGTCCCCCCAGGTGAGTGGTTAGTGCCCCAGGTGAGTGGCTAGTGTCCCCAGGTGAGTGGTTAGCGCCCCCAGGTGAGAAGTTAATGCCCCCAGGAACCTCCCCCTGGAGTGGGACTATCTGCCCTGGAGTGGGATTCTCCACCCCGGTGTGAGCTCCACTTTGGCGGCCCCATTCTGTAGTCATTTAGCCGTCAAGAAACACTGGACAACTCTTCAGAACACCTAAACTCGTAGCTGAAAATATAATTCATTAAACTGTTATGACATGGGGCCGCATTGAACCAGTCTTCAGAGGCTCCCTTCTTTAAAAAAAAGTCGAGTTTCAGAGACGGGTGCTGACCACCAAGATCTCCACCATGGTGGAGACCGGCGACCGCGCCAAGGTGGAGACCGCGCTAGTGGGAAGACCACGCCAGGGAGAAGACAGTACCAGACTAGGCCTGCGTACTAGGTCCCAGCCACTCCTGGGGCACCTATCACACCTGGGGGAGCAAACTACGCCTAGAGGCACCTACCAAACTTGGGCGCAAGAACCACGCCTGGTGAGGCCAACTATGTCCCGGAGATGGCCAGAAAACTTAGTCTTGATGTCGAGTCTTCTTAGGATAAATGTGGGAAGATTCGTGATGACTCGGCAGCTGGCCGAGACTACTGTCCCAGGAGTTCGCCACAACACACACATCAACGGTTAGAACAACACTCCTTTACGGTAGTCTACTAACTACTCTAAAACTCTATTGCGAACTCCTCATTTTCCGGAAACCAGGCTCCGACCTAAACTATCCCATCAATAAATTTACCCTAGATTGAACTTAAAACAATTCTTATTTTGGTGCGACAATGTCAATAAATAAAGAAAAGTGAGTAACATAGGGACATTCTCACAGCTTTTTTGGAAGTTGTTAAATACGTTTGCTAGACAAGTTCCATATAATTACTTGTATAGGAAAGAAAATGTAGACCCAATAATGTTAGGCTAATTTGAAATGCATTGGCAGACGTTAATACAAATTGGTCTGATGAATACTGGAAACTTATACAAGAATTTTGAACTGTCTTCCGCAAATTGTATGCAAATTATGATTTCCTATTACACTTTAGTTAAGATACTTTAAAAGGTCTGTGCCAGTGTCCAGTAAAGCGATGGCGTTTGAAGAACTTGATGGCATCGCAACATGCATTCTGTACGACCCAAATGCTAGCCCCCGCCTCAAGCCATGGGCGCTTATGCACGCTAGATTCAGTGAATGCTGAACATTCGTGCATTTCTCTCACTCGCTTCTGAGAAGAATATTTGACTTTCCATGACCCGCAGTCAATAACTGTGAAGCGATGTTGGGACGCGCCATCTGGTCACAGTTCTTGGCTGGGCGTTGAAATGCAAATCCAATATAGGTTCTTCATTTCCATAGCCAAACTAGCATTTACTTTGAACAGTTCGGTATTAGATCTCGCTTGAAACAATTGGAAATCGCCTGTACTCTTTCATTGCCGCAGTAGCACAGCACTTGTATACGTTTTTATTATTTTATTAAAAAAATAACTAGCATGTACAGCAAATCGCAGCATATCAAAACAGTTCTGGTGGAAATCGGCAAGGTGCCGCGTGAGGAAGAATCCTAGACAGGCCAACTTGGCCTGATGAAAGCCAACACCAACATACTGTATGTAATTAAAATTATAATTATGCTGCACAATATGTAGTTGAATAAGAGCCACAAATTAAATACAGGTATCTCGACTTCGGCGGTTTGTGTAAGCTGTAAAGCATCTCACGATCAGGTTTTAGGAAATAAAAGACGCTTTTCTGGTCTCAGTATAGAACCCTGTATGAATAACAGATTGTTACAAGTTACATAAATACAAATACAAAGAAAACTATTATTAACGGTATAAATTAAATTAGCTATTAAACAAAGTAATTAGTACAAGATGACCGTTTCTACCCTCAAGTACTTACTCTAAGAACAGGTTCTAGTGGAACGAAGCAAAATACTAAAAGCAGGAATAAAGTTAACTATTGTCGTATTCAATGTGGTAACGTTCATATATAAACAAATCTTATTTTGGTAATTATATCTAATCCTAAATTTCTAAATATTTTTATTATATATATATATACAAAATCTTAAACTGAACCGCTACATGTGCACCCAAAAATTACTGTAGGGTGAAATTTGAGTTGCAGTGATACTCAGTTTTGAAACTCAGTTCGGGAGGTACTCAATTTTTACACAGGATTAAGTATGGCACATTCGTACAAGCTTTTTTGTTCAATCCGAGGCTTCAACTTGTCATTTACGACATTTCTCGAATGCAGTCACGTCACTTTGGGAAAGCCTTGTCGTCATGGCTGTGCTGGGCGCTCAGCCAATTCTTGGTGAGAAACTCTACCCTCACACTGGTGAGAGAGCGAAGAATAAACGAACTTGTATATGAAACATACAGAGGGGAAAGAGATATTAAGAGAATTATTTGGACGATACGATATCGTATCATCATTAGTTTTGACCCCCCATACCTGTTAGGGACCAACTAATCAACGGATTTGCAAAAGAAAATCAAACGAGAAAAGAAAACTTTAGTTAATTATTCAGATAATACTAATATCATAACGATCCTGAGAATAGCGCACGTAGGTAAAGAAAAAACATAAATATGACCTAGTTTTCCCGTTTGCAATATTTTACTAGCAATTATATATAAAGTACTTCGAATTGCGCATAGGAATTGTAAGGCAAAATTTCTTCCCAATTGATGAAGACAGACGGATCTGCCTTCCCTATTATGTGAAATTAATCCAACTTCTTCCCGTGCACGTTACCCGTTATGGCTTTGAATTACGCAAATTTCGATGAGTTAAGACATAGAATTACGAATATTTCAATGGGTTAAGCCTTTGAATTACGCATATTTCGATGCGTTAAGCCTTTGAATTTCGTACATTTAGATGCTTCACGGCTTTAAATAACGCTCCTTACCACGCTTTATAAGGCTTTGAACTACGCACATTACGACAGTTTGCACCACTCGCAGGTCAGCTGATGGAGAGATGCGCCGTGTGTAACGAGAAGGGCTTTAGGGCTTTGAACTATGCTCATTACGACAGTTTTATCCACTCGCAGGTCAGCTGATGGAGAGATGCGCCGTGTGTAACGAGAAGAACTACCTGGCGGTGTGTGCGCACTGCGAGAAGAAGGTGTGCGACGCTTGCAAGGCAGCGCACTCCGACCTCCTCAAGCGCGAGATCGGTAGAATCAATAACCAGGTAAGTGATAAACTTAATTAATGGTATTAATTGAGACATTTATTCATCTAGTTCAGTGTAATAATGACATTAATAAAATTATGTATCAATAGGCACAACGAATTTGGTTGATAAACATGAATTACATCGTAGTACTTATCATTTTTACTGTAAAATTATTATTAGTAGCGGTACTTAGTTAAATTATAATTGTTTATGATCAATTATTTTGAGTTACTTGAAAGCATTTCATAATTAAACAATCAATGAGAACGGCTTACACAAGGAATGCGCTGAATAATATTTTAATTCCAACCTGAAGTCAATGCACCCAATTTCTGGCTCGAAATGACTTCATTGAAACAATAGTTAGTACTATTTATTATTATTAAATTATTATTATTATTAAATCCGTGTTAGGGTCCGAGGCGAAATGACTTAAGTTGAGACAATAGTTTTTAATATCTAATAATATTAATTATTTTATTAACAATATTTATTAATAATTCTGTGTTTGGGTGTCAGGTGAAACGAGCAGCACATCGGTTAACAGAGCAGCTGGAGAACGTGGAGCGCAACATCGCGTCTCTGAAGACCAACACGAACAGCATCACTGAGGAGATAGAGAATATTTCCAAGCGGCTACAGAAAGCCATTCGGGATCGCGGAGAGTACCTGAAATCGGAGGTAATAACCTAGCAACAGGCAAGTGCTAGGTTATTCCGCTTCCGATATTAGTAGTAATAACCTAGCACTTGTAATATCCGCTGCCGATTTTAGCGATGAAATAGCAAACCATTGCCGATAATAATTTTCAGCTAAACAACCAAACGCATAAAAAAATAAATAAAGATGAACCAACTAATTGAGTGGTCTAAGGCAAAAAATTTCAACACACCGGGGTGTTCAACATTTTTAAAATAAAAGTAAAAATAATACAATTGGAGTTAAGGAGCTCAAAAGTTTAAACTATATGAAATAAATAGCAAATTCGAGCGAATATCAATGGAAATTTCAATTTCAATGTAAGAGATGAATCATAGTTATGATTGCTATCAAGTACTGAGCGTCTTTCTCCCAATCCAGGTCCAAAATCAGTACAACGCAGAAATGAGGCATATGCAGAACCTTAAGGAGGGCTTGGATCTCGAGATTGCGAACGTGCAATCAAACATTGAGCTCGCTGAGAAACACATGGACGATGAGACTCCCTGGGACGACGGGGAACTTATGGACACTAAAGATATCTTTCTGAAGACCATGGAGTTCATAAGAAGCTTTGATTATGATACGGGCGGAGAATATGGAAGAAAGACGCGCTTCATACCACCTGATGACTTGAACAAAGTGAGATTTACGCAGTGTTTATTTCAAAGGATGCTCTTTACCTCAATACTTTCAATATACTAGCGGGCATCAACCGAGAACCCTATAATTTCGAATATACCGTACCTAACGAACTACAGATAATTTAAAACAGAGTCGTAACTCTCCGCATCTTTTTTTTTTTTTGGGAGAAATGATTCGATTCTACTGCTTGAATACTGAAGGCCATTATTTTTGGAAGAGATTCGACTCAACGTAGTAAATAATTAGAACTTTTGTTTCGACAGCTTGCGTCTAGTCTCAGCAACATGGGGGAGTTGACTATCCCGAACAAGCACCCAGACTCGTACACGGCGGGCCAGTCTTTTGGCTCGGGGGGCCTCGCGAAAAGCAAGAGCGACCACAGACTCGCGGTCCAGTTTCGGGACCAGGAGGAATCGCTCGGGGGACGAACGTCCCCTATAACCCGCAGAAGGTTCGGCGAGCGTCCGCCCCCGTCAGAAAGGTCATTGGATAATTATAATGATTTTCAATCATATAATTCACATTATTCTTTTTATTGTATAATTTTTTAGAAATATACCTATAGATTTTTATATTGATTTTAATGTCTAGAGCTTTTAATAACTTGAATGAATGCCGTGCCGAAGAAGTGTCAAGACATTCCTAATTTTATAATTTCATTATTTTTGGTAGAATATTGTTGGTATATTTCACACAATTTTCCTATTTGATATAATTTGCCGTATTTGTTTCTATCTGAAGTTTTAGTTTCCGCTTCAACATAACTATTTTGTATCATTTCTTCAATGGGAACCAATAAAACCCACATTAATAATATGGCCGATTTTTATAACCAGCGCTGTTGTTGCGTTTGCAGATCAAATTAATGTAAGTGCTTATTTATAATGACAAGGAATAAGAACAAGATGAACCAACATGCAAAGCAAAATATTGAAGCCAAATCATGATGATTCTCATTCCAAGAAACATTCGGTATATTCAGAGCATTTCTGGCATTTTAAGTACTTACACGAATATATCACGGAAAGTTTCCAAGTAAAGCTTCAATTTACTAATGATAACCGCTCACAGTTTGAGATTTGTACTGCCGACCACTTCTGGATAAAATTCTTTCCCTCGTTGCTATCAATGCCTTTCGGCGAAACATTCAACTGCCCATTAGTGAGAATGAGGGAAAATAAGTTGTACGAAAATAATTTTGTCTTCAACTTGCTTCGATAAAAACTACAATCGTACTCGTCAATGTTAGGTAAGCTTGAGTGAACCAATACTTGAATTCCTCTTGATTCGGTCTCCATTGCATAAAAGCCCTCTCTGATTATAGAAATTCATTTCCAAAAATTATGGAACAAAATTTATGTGAATTCGAAGTGGCAGAACTATGTAGACGTCGCACGCACGTTTATTAACTCTGGCAAGAAAATACAATAAAAATCACTTCAGCCTCGGAACTTTTATTTGCCAAGTTCATTTCTTTTTTCAGAAATGCGATGCAATAATTATAGCGAATAAGATTTTCTTTAGTGTTTGGTTAAATAACATTTCGGTAAATTCATTTCAATGAGTTCATGAATTTCTTTTGTTTCTACTAATGAAGCCTAACCAGTTTTCCCATACTTTTTAAGCAGTAAGCAGTGTAAACCAACAAGATGAATTAATTACGACTTTTCTAGTCAGATGAAAGTCGCATATTCCCATTATTATGATCCTTTTTTACATTTACGGACCATTTTGACCGTCACAATAGTTAATAAAGCATGAATTTCACTGCTTTAAATACTCTTCGCTCTCTATTCCGTAAACTCGTATAAGAAGTGGTCAATTATCTAAACGCAGTTTTGCAATAACTAACTAAATTTGTATGTCTTCCACAGTCATGATTCTGCTTATGAGTCTGATCCAAGCAGACGTCGATTCCGATCTCGATTCATGCGTCGCGAAGATGAAGAAGATAAAGGAGTTCGCTTTACTGAAGATGATGTCACTAAGCCTCAACGAATGAAGATAATCGACACTGAAGATGTATCACGAGGTCCTTTATCCGGAATTGTCCGCATAATGGATTCACCGAGAGTTATACAGCGGCTACAAGAGCGAGAGAAATTGATCAAACAAAAGAAAGAGGATGCAAATAAACCTCCTGCACCAACACCTGTTTCTGCACATTCTGTGGCACCAACAGCATCAATTCCATCTTCGCAAACAAATCCATACACACCAAAAAAAACGGGACGTCAAATTAGTGAAGACGAAATAGATAAAATAAAGAAACAAAATAAAGCAGAAGAATCTGTAGCGCCTTCTAGCTCAGCAAGCGGTGGAGTAAGTGCAACCAGCCCCTCCACTTACGGTTCAAGCATCTCAACCCCGAGGTCTCCGCCAGTTAGGGAAGAAGACAAAAGCAGCCGATCAGATAGATCTTCGGCTGCAGGTAGGAGCTCAGTGACCCAATCTGCTGCTTCGCAGGATGATGATCCGTCATCGTACTCTACAAGGCGTAGAGACTACTCATCAGCCAGAACAACCGACTACACGCCATCTAGAACTAGTGCCGACTACACGCCATCCAGAACTAATGCTGACTACACGTCTTCCAGAACGACTGACCTCAGTCCAGTGGCAACATCAAATGGTACGTCCAGTCGAACTCCATCTCGCAAGACGAGCATTGATACTGGTGTTTTGAGTGTAACCCAAAGAGCCCAACCCTTTAGTAGATCCTCATCCACTTCTTCCGTAGGTGAAACAACCAAAGCACGCAGTTCTCATACCCTTGATACCTCAGCTTACGAAAGGCGGCTATCCAGATCAAACAGCACTGATAGCAACAGATCATATGATGGGACTTTGTCTCCTAGGAAATACACAGGGGCAGCATTTTCGACAGATGAATTAAGAAATCGTTTTGGAAGAACAACTGACTCTAGCTCTAGAAGTAGGACAAACACATATCCTAGGCCATCCACTACTTCTAGCAGTGGCTCATCTCGTTTTCAATCACGTTTTTTAGGACGAGCCGGTACTCCTTCGGCGGAGGCCTCCAAGGAATCGGGGAATGAAGAAGAGGAAGAAAGCAGCGAAGAAACCGAATCCGATGACTCAGAAGAGTCGTCTGAGGAGGAGGAAGAAGCGAAAGAGGACAAGACACCTTATTCCCGATCCGGTGGTGGGCTTCTGGGGAGGAGTACCCAGAACTCGAGTAGTACAGGTAGTTCACTCAAAAGTAAGCCAACAGATTCTGGTTATGCAAGTCGTTATGGAAGCAGTAACGATAACAGCACTAGCAGATATGGTACGAATAATGACACTAGCTCAACATCCAGTTATAGACGTCCATCAATAATTGATAATAAAAAAGATGATGACGGCGAATCTAAATATTCATTTAGCAGTAAATACTTGAATCGTGCAAAATTAAATGCTCAAGAAGAAGAAAAGCCGGCTTTCCAGAGCCGTTTTTTGAATCGCTCAAAAAGTTCGGCCATTTTGGGCCCTGATGCAGTTGGTGCCACAAAGGATGATGACAGTCCTCCAGCCATGGGCACAGGTAGAGCTCGTTTTGAAGAGCTCAAAGAGAAGAGGCAACGACTGGCTCGAAGCAAAAGCTCAGCCGGATTAGATGATGACGAAAGTTCGACAAATGATACGTCTTCCCCGTCATCTACCTATAAATCCAAGTATTCTCGCGACAATGATACAAGCACTTCATCTGTAGGATCAAGAACGCTTGGATCGTCATCGACTCCAACTGGTCGAGATGATGGCGGATCTTCAACGGCTCAGCTTTCGAACTGGGCACGCTACCTCAAAAACAAATATGGCAATAAAAGTGGTGGTGACAGCTCAGCAGTCGGCAGCACCAACTCGACAGGCACGTCGAGCAGTCTGCTCAACCGAACAGGTGTGAGCAGCATAGGCAGTTCAGGAATTGGAAGTAGTACTAGTACTAGCACTGCGAGAGCTTTAGCAAGGTCTCGTTCTTCTCATCTCTTGGGGGGCCCGAATGGTGAAACTTCTGAAGACGGTTCTTCAAAAAACGCGGACGCTACCCCTACTTTCCCAGCAGCAGCAGCAGGTATACTGGTGGTTCCTACAGCTATCGGAAGTATCCATAGGAACCAGTATCTGAAGAAACAACATCTTTTACTTCAGATCGGGAGTAGGGGTAGCGAGCCCGGAAATTTCACATGGCCAAGAGGCGTTGCAGTTGGTCCTGACAATAGCATCGTGGTTGCGGATTCGAGTAATCATAGAGTGCAAGTATTCGATCAGAATGGTTCTTTCCAAAAAGAGTTTGGCTCGTATGGTAGCAGACAAGGTGAGTTTGACTGCTTGGCCGGCGTAGCTGTTAATCGAATAGGTCAGTATATTATTGCTGATCGATATAACCATCGCATCCAAGTACTTGACCCCTCTGGAATGTTCCTCCGATCATTTGGCAGCCAGGGCAGCGGGGACGGGCGGTTCTCGTATCCGTGGGGAGTAACCACAGACGCCCTGGGCTTCATCTACGTGTGCGACAAAGAGAATCACAGAATCCAGGTGTTCCAGTCGGACGGAACGTTTGTGGGCAAGTTTGGCAGTCTGGGCAACAAGCCCGGCCAACTGGAACATCCTCACTACATAGCAGTGTCATCAACCAACAGAGTCATCGTGTCAGACTCAAACAATCACAGGATTCAAATCTTCGACATCAACGGAAAAGTTCAAACAACCTTCGGAGGAGAGGGAGCGGAGGAGGGCCAATTCAAGTTCCCCAGGTAAGAAAGAAGTAGTTTTATTCTTTAAATTGGCATAATAAAGTAAATAATTGCATATTTTTGATAAAAAAAATACGGATGATAAACTCGGAAATTGAAATTTGATATTCATATACACAATCTTTTTGAAGTTTCAATGAAATTTTTTTAGCTATTGACGAATTCAAGTGCAATGCACCAACAAAATTTATCTCTTATAGTAACAAAATTAATCCTTCAGAGTGGTTCAAACACGAATCGCAAATTTATTCAAGATAACGAAAAATTCCACTTTCTTTTTTATATTGTAAAATTTTATCGCTCTAAATATTCAGACTGAATCTTAGTTTATGCATGAAAACGCCTTTTAATGTCCTTGAATGATCCTCGCAGCGTGAATGAACGCTTGCCGCCACAGCTTCTCTACACAAATTGTTCAACTTAAACACTCTCATGATAGACATTAGAAATCCATGTGTGTTCTACGGCATTTTGCATTTTACCTACAAGTGCATGTAACTTAGCACCCAATGAAATGATTACTTCTCAGTAAATGACGTTTAAATAATGTCATACAAAATAAAAGTTCTCTGTCGTTCGAATACAAATGTTTGTAGATAAAGTTTTTGTTTCAGATGTTTTGATCCAATAATTTGTAAATTTCTATTAATAAATAATTTTATCCTGCTATGACGTGATTAAATTACTGTTATTTTTAAAATACTTTAATTTCTATCTTAATATTGTGGTATTTCTGTAACTTTATTTCTCTATTGAGTATCAAATTACTCAATTTGGATTGCCCTTCTAGAATTAAAGTTATTTAATTTCACTATTGCTTAGATCGTATTACTATTAATGATTGCAGTTATCTACGTTGTCTGATTTCATATGAAACGTAACGGCTGACCACTTAGTTATGAATAAGATTTATCATGTAAATTAGAAATCATTGACATAGGAGATTTCGCGCATATCCTAGAGCTTTTTAAAATTTACGCTGATATTTAAGTACAGAGGCGAATCACCGTGGCGTAATCTATGCTCGCTCATCAAAACCTGTTAATTGACAATTATTATAAGACAGCCACCACCACGAGTCACGACACTACCATCGCCTTAAGACTGCGACCATCATGAGACTACCACCGTAAGATTACGACAATTGTAAGATTACAAATTGCAAACTCTTAAAAAAAGTACAGTATATAATTAATTAATTAATGACAATATTGGTGTCGAAAAATATCACGTTCGGCGAAAGTATTTCGATTGTCGTCTTCATTTGGCCTCGTGAAAAAATTTTACATTAGAAAAAGTTAACATGCGAAGACCTGTGAGCAAGTTTTTCATCATGTCTCAAAGCATGCATACTGAGGACTGTTTGATAAATTAACAATGAAACTCATTAAATACATATGTTTATGATCACGATTATCAAATTTCCAATTACAATTGAAACATGGATGTCTGTACATCAATCATTGCACTGTATATACTCCGTTCGTCACTATCAAAGCGCGATCGAGGTAAGGTTTTCGTGGCTTCTTCATTTATGGCCTTGAATTTCGCAATGGCTTACTAGATTTTTGTTCATTTACGCAATTATATAATTCGCTAAAACGATAACCACCTGCTTAGATTTAAAGAATTTGCTAGATTTTCTTTCCCATCAGCAAGAAACGATGCAGTTGGTGCCCAGATTTCATTCGAAACAGTATTTGGAGTCAGTTTGGTGTTTTCACTTCATGAAACATTCAAAATAATCCATTACTTACTATACGAGATGTTAACACTATATTTATCTGTGATAAATATAGTTAGAATGAGACGAGAACATGGGAGGCTCGATCTATTTAGGCCTAGTAATGAATAATGATTTGCTCATATCATGCCAAGCAATTGACCGGCTTAGTCTTCGTTTTAATCGAATAATTGCTTAGCATTAATTAACTTTACGTTGGTAATTTTACTGGTCAGTGGTCAAGCGTACTATCAATAAAGATATGTCGATAAGGGGAAGATGCCAAACTGATTTAAAAAATTTTCATGCTTCGTAACCCGACTGGAAAATGCTCATCAATCAAGAAAAAAATGAAATTCTAAATAAGAACAACACGAAGTATGAAAATGATAAGATAACACAAATGTTATTATAATTTTAAATGTTGGCTTAACATACGTTCCTTGCATTAATAAATGCAAACGCAATTCTGTTTTGCTAACATGCTAAGACATGCTAACATGCAGCTATCATGACGTTAGTATTACCTCAAGTTTCACTTTGGATTGAAAACATGTATTTCTTGCACTAAAGACTTTTAACTATTTACTAACCATGGTTATTCAATGGTGCTCGTGGTTTATTTCCGCGTAAATGTGTCCAGAGTTAGCCCAGTGAATGAATACCACATTCATTGAAGATGACATTTAGCAATAAAACTTTCCGCCAATGATGATCGTTCTCACGCTTCGAAATTATGCATGCTAGTGTTAATTTACTGCATCAATACTTCCATTACATCAATGTTGATTTCATTCTACTTACGTTCATCTTACAGCAGTCTTGACTTTCTCGTAAAGTTTTCCCATATTCGGGAGTTCGTTTTTTATCATAAATTCTTTTAAGGGTCCAGGTATACAGATAAAACTTCTCCCAGCCTTAGCACGACTGTTATTTTGGTTAGATCATATCACTTCACTTAACACCACTCTAATTTTCTCGCCCTTTGCATCTAGATGCGCCACTCCCAACTTGCGGGAGTTAGGGACTCCTGCTAATTATTCCGCCCTTTTGCCTAAAATAAATGATCTGATTATTTTCAATGAAGCATCCGCTACTGCGGAGACGATGAGAGCTCAAGTATATAGCATTGAAGTAAAGAAAACATTTACTGGAGCAACAAACATGAAAACGCTTCAATAGTTAATTTTGAAATGAAATTTTTGCGGCTGCTTTTGATATTACCTGCATGTAAATATGTTTCCTTAGTGGTTGACTAGCAGCCGATCATTTGAATAAACAAAATCCTACGACGACTTTCTCGCCTTACAAAATAATCCGAAAATTCGAACAAGGTTGATCTCGCCCCCGAATATAAATGAACGACGTCTATGAATTTTCATTTGATAATGTTTCGTCTTTCCTGTATCGTTAAAAATGAGTTTTTGTTCAAAGGGGAGTGGCAGTGGACGAACAGGGATTCATAATCGTGGCGGACAGCGGCAACAACAGAATTCAGATTTTCCAAGCGGACGGGAGCTTCGTGAAGGCGTTCGGGTGTTGGGGGTCCATGGAGGGCGAGTTCAAGGGGATGGAGGGAGTGGCGGTGACGCCGAGTGGCAACATCCTGGTTTGCGATCGGGAGAACCACCGAGTTCAGATCTTCTAGAGAAACGGTTAGTACTAACATCAGTAACATGCATATGCCAACCAGTTGAATAATACAATTTTTTTAATTCTCATTGAGGTAGGAGTTGGGTGTCGACAGTTCACTTGAAATAACGAAATGAAATGCGCGATAAACGGTGAAGTTATCTTGGGTTCTATCCTGACAAGGATTTACTAAATAAACGCTGTTGAGATATAAGTAATTTTAACAATTCTGGTCAAGTTATTATAATTATAGCGGTGTCAGCGTTGCAGATTAGGCAACTAGGATTTTTAACATAGCATAATTTTCACAGTTGGTTGCGGGTCTCGAACCCACAACTCACAACTCCAATATCTACAGAGATAACCGCCTGGCCGCCTCGCCAATTTCAACTATAACTTTATATAGTTGGCTACTGGTATTGAACCCACGACTCACTGTTCCAGTACAGGTGCTCTGAGCTTTCACCACGCGCCCACCCTGCCTTATGACACATTACTATAATACTTTCTATTCACAGGAAGAATGGTCTTGTCGACGAGGAAGTTTTCCAAGTGGAAGAACAGTTTCTCGAGAACGATGATGAAGGCCCTCAAAAGTTGTCAGTGAAATTTGTACAGAAAATAAACAAGCCTTCAGTTATCAGTCCTTCTTCATCTTCCATTGCTAAGTATCTGACTATCAATAGACCAACCTCCCGCAGACTGCAAAACTTTTCCTTCGTAAAGAGTGGAGTAAGAGGGAATACACCTCTACCCGTTCGACGACACGGGAAGTTCTGTCACAAGAACAACTGTTCTTGTGATCTGTCACAAGAAACTACTCGATTTGTCACAAGAATGGAATCGGAGGCTGTTCACGCAGATGAGGATGGAAACCGCGGTGAGATTCAACTGATTCAACATTCGGAATGTCCCCAAACACCAAAAGTTGATCTTGCTGTGCAGCGAGAGAATTGTCCTGCTCGCCGCATGTTTGCTCCGAAGAGTGACACTTTGAAACACCAGCAAGCTTTTCAGCAGGCCCGACCAATGAACTCGAAGCGTTCCCAGCAACTCATAAGTAAATACTTGGTCGAGAACAGACTAAAAAGTTTGAATCAGTATTCTGCTACTTTACTTCACATTACTCAACAGAATGAGCTTCCAAAACGCCGCGGCACGCCTAGTTCAAAAAATTCTACAAACCTAAAATTGAAGGAACGGCTTGATAGACCGTCATCTGATGTCATTAATAGCTCATTGAAAGCACGCGATGAATTAGGAAAGGAGCAATGCAGTCACCGCATACATTTGTTGGCCACTGGTTCGCAAAATCTAGAACAAAGCGGTGCCCGATTATACCCAATTAGATACGAAGAGTCTGGGTCGCGGTCTACAGAGCGAGCCAGGGTCCGTATAACTCCATTCAACTCTAGAGATTCCAGGCCTCAAATGAAACAGCAAACTGGATCAGCTTTCTATGCAGCCCATTCGATGGATTCTGGATTAAAAACAACAGATCAAGGCAGAACTCGGTTACCTCCTCATAGTCTCATTGATTCAGGAACTCAAGCGAGAGAACGCGATATAGCCCCTCTATCTGGCACTGGTTTTTCTATGGGTGCCATTAATAAAGTGAGAGTCCCAGAATTCAATTGTCCAACTTCAGCAGTAAAAACGACAGATCATGTTAGTGCCAGATCATACCCTTTTAATTATATGATTCCGGGAACTCAGATGACAGATCAACGTGAAGCTCGATTGAATTCGTCTTACCCTGTAGGCGGAAGGACTTCTGTGCCAGTGGTTCACAGGTTGCCCTCGATTCGACGAGGTAGCGACTGCCGCGTCTTAGCTCCCCCTCTTCAACGAAGGTTGTTTGAACTACCGATGATGGCATCATCTCCATCACGAAGAGTTAGATGAAATTACTGATTTGGCTCTAGGTAATTTTTCGTACCTGGAACTTGAATCACTCACCTTTATGCACGTACCGTGACGCTTGTAGTTTTTTAGGACGTTGATAGATCAGATAAATTTTCTTGAAATGAGCCTTTGTATAAGGCTGTTATGAATTCAAACATGGCATTTCTTTTTCGTTCTTGTTTAAATAGGTTCCTATTTTACAGAGTAGACGGAAGGAAGAAGCTCCGGCATCTTATTAGCCTTCAAAATATTAAGACTTAATACATAAATAAATTCTTTATATATTACTAGTTAATCAATGTAATGCTAGCACTGAAGATAATTTGCTTTACAATTGCCAAATTATATGTTTACTTGTCAACACATTTTTCATAATTGAATATTCAAATGAATGTGTTATAATTGTTTGTACTTATGTACATAATTAAAATAAAAATTTTTGAGAACACCTCAACGTACATTGGTCTTCGTACGAAATACGTGAAACTCGACGATTAAATTTTGCACTTTCCTGTTTATTATCAGGTTAGATACTAATAATTATACTCACTTCCCTTCACAAGTATTTGTATTGTTAAATGTTGAAAATGTTTATGCGTCACTAACCCTGTAAAAACCTGGATCAAATCGCAATTTTATTCGGAAATGTGTACTTTTTTCACAACATTACAGGGGAAAAACAGCACATTTCTAGTAACCAATTTGTTTATGTGATTCATTTCGCTGTACATTTTGCTAGGCCTGGGAATTTTACGAGGGAATCTTTAAGGAATTTGATGACGTGCGACGTTTGCTCGTCAACGAGCCATACTATGTGGTTAATTAAACACAGACTCGTTTAATTTATTTAATCTGACGCGACTAAACTCGATTAAAATAGAATAAGTTCATAAAAGTGTTACTATTCTTCACAGACACTTTTGTTAATAAATTTTGTAGGAAGCTTTTGTTTGACAATCCTGAAACAACGTTTTTCTAACTATCGTACTAATCGTTACGCGGTATAATAAGTTCAACGAATCAATGAAATGCAGTGAACCAAAAATTCGTTAAGTCAAATGGACACCAAATTGTACTCATAAATTGTAATTCGGTTTTAACTACGCAACACTACAGTACCACACTGTATTGCACTGTAAACTGCACAACTTAGCCACACAGCTCAACAAAACAGCTTAATTAAAAACTAAACGAAGTGAATATCTCAATAAACTCAGCTGAAGAAATGCTCCGTCGCGACCCCGCTGAAGAATGGGAAAATTATGAAGGAACCGGACTCCTGGATTACATAATTTGACATGTCCAATATTTAAAAGTCTTAAAAGTTATTAGTTTCCTATTGAAATATTTTAATTTCTCATTAGTGTTAGTGCGCTCAATTAAGGCTATAAAATTGGTACCTCGATTACATTATAATCATTCAGTAATTTTGTCCCAATTAGTAAACACCAATGAGTGAATAGGCATCAGCTTAATTGGTGCTTGAATAGACATCAGTTCCAAAGCAGGATTAAGTGCCACATTTTCAAAATTTTTAAGTGCCACTTTCTGAAACATGTATATGGATTGTACATCTATGTTAGCACATTTGTACTTCAGTATGAGTAGCGTTAACAATAACAAAACGTTGCAAATGAGAGAATACCTATTGGGACTTTTTTTTCAATTCTAGTACTTACAGTACCTATACCTTTACAGGGGACTGAGTAAATGCAAGGAAGAACTACCTTGTTGTTGTTCTTCTCAGATCGGACTTCGTAGGCATCGCGTGTGGTCGATAAAGTACGAATTGAATTAGTTACATAAAGCTACAGTTTTATTTACTGCATTATTCGTCTAGTTTATTTGATGAGTAGCTCCATGCATGTTTCCATAGGCGCGTGCTCGCGATGACTGCATCCTTCACACCATCCATACATGAAGCTGTAGATTAAGTCGACCCAGTCAGAATAATATTTTGTGATTTATGTTGTGCAAATAACTCACATTAACGAAAGTTTTGCTTACGAATAATAACAAACAAAAAATTATGTACTTCAAACTTTTTTTTGACACATTTTTTTTCTATTCTGAATAGTGAAAGAAACTCTTAAATCTTTCCTGAAAGTTTGAGCTTTCGAGAATAACACATCATTATAGTTTGATCGAATGACCTATTACCTCCTCTCAGTCCTACACCTATAATAATTCAAAGAAAAGGTTCATCTACATTCGAAGACATGAAATATAAAAAAAAAATTAAATTGAATAGCATTAAATTTAAAAGTAGTCAGAATAAAATCGAAATAACAGAGAACAACAGTAATATCACTACATACCAACACACAAAGTACACTAAAAAACAGTAATACGTATGGACAATGAAGATTAATAACAATAAAACGAAGTTTTAAATGTTAGCATAATTGTTAGTAATCGTAGTAATGAGGCAATTAACATTATTTAATATGCAAAACTCACGATAGAAGATATAGCCTCTATAGTCCAGTAAATTTATACTGATACTCCTAATTGTTGTCTTATTTCAAACACTAAAAAAATACGGTCAGAAAATTAAATTAATCTCATCTTTAGCGATCCTTCGTTTGACCAACGAAGGCGGAGCACCAGCATGACCTTGGACTATGAGTCCTAAACTCATCATAAGGTCAATACTTAGAGTCTAAGTATTGACCTTATGATGAGTTTAGGACTCTTGAGTTTAGGACTTTAGGACTTAGACCACTTGGACGCTCACCTCATCTTCTGTACTTCGGTTTTGAAGGCCAGTGTTGTGACGACTCCTTCTTCCTTCAACGACCTCGTTACTTTCTCCAGGAAACCTACGCTGCACGTACATCTTTCCAGGATGATGCGACGAAATCTGGCATTTATATTTGAGGTGAAACTTGTGAACACAAGTGCAAAAGTGTAGTTAATTATAAATATTCCATATATGGCTATAATTGCCTCTGATTCAGAAAAATTAAATACTTGGCTTCTCTCGTTGAGATTGCGATAGTTTATGACATCGGACTCCAAATGAAATCGTGAATTTCAATTGAATATTAAAATGTACGAATTTTGTCTGGAATAAACATTTAATCGGATCATGACAGTGCGACTCAGCGAAAGAGGAGGTATTCAGAGAGGAAAAATCTGTACTAACATTTAGTTATTGAAATATGACATTTATCCAGTATATTCTTTTTCGACCATAAAATCACAAATGCTTGTTGAAATATCTAAAAAATAACCTCAATTACAAGTAATTGTTATTATAACTTAAATCAACAAAAATGAAAACCATTGGGTGATCAATAACACTAGTTAAAATTAATTTCAAATAGAGTCTTTTTCTTTCAATTTCCCAGAGCAACAAAATTTCTGAAACATTATAATCAATCTTTTTACCATAAAATTTGAACTTTCCACAGGAGAAATATGGCAAAAATGCAGGCAAATCATTGAAAAGAAAACTGTAAAGACTTGGGATGCTCCAGCATGATTCGCGACTCTGTTAGATCGTTTACCATCGTTTACCAAGGAAATTCAGCTTACCATTTATTCTAATGGAATATATTTAAGAAAATGTTATTTGTAATAGGAGTAATTCTCGATTTATTTTCTGACTCATTTTACTTGATTAACTTAACCTATATATTTAATTCTTCTCACATCAAAATCTACGTCGGAATCTGCGCAGAATACTCACCTCTTATTCTTTGGAGCCACCAACATTAAAAGGTTGAATAAGTCCTTGGCTTTTCCAGTGTCAGCAACATGTACTGTAGGCTCCTTCATTGGCGTACCCCGGGGAACAACACCGTCTGGAAAGTCTTTGTACGGGAATCTGATACCTGTATAAGAAAAAATATTTGAATGTCGTCAATCGAGTAAACATTTTTAATCGAAAAAATTCTCGATTTCTAGCTGTAACAAATAAAAATTCAATGTACTATCTTAGGAGTGACGATGACCCGAAAAATGTAGAATTATGAACCATTCTTTAGTGGCGAATGAAAGATGGTGCTTCGTACGGATTGAGTGCACACGGGACTCATTTAGCTGTGGTAATGTTGGAGAAATCCATAGAGTATGGAATAGTAGCTGTACACACACGCCAAGTGAGATGGAAACATATTTAGTAAAAGCTTTCCATTTAACATTAGGTGAAATTAAGAAAAATCTTCACGCAAAAAATGATGTGCAATCTTAAGCAGATAAATTGAAATGAGATAATATACAATACATATATAACAAATTTCAAGAACTGCTTTAAGTAACGTTGAAGGCAAACACGATTTCAAAGATTTACTTGAAGTTGATTTGAGCATCGGCAGCAGGTGCAATCCGTTGTGGTATGGATCAGGGACGCTAATGGCCACGACTGGTGGCTCGCCGCAGAGATTCAGTAGCGTCGACAGCGCCTGCATGCCTTCGACCGTCGCCAAGCATCCAGAAAAATGGCCTAGGGTGAACCTGGATGAACGTACGATATCATATTTCCACTCTAATACGCTAGATATATTTTCCTTCAGAACGGAACGTCATATAGGACATTTTCTAATAATTAGTTGAACATAGCATTTTTTGATAAAGTTCAGTTCAAGTTTCTGGGCGTGCAATCATAACTTTTCCACATTGTAAATTATGTTACCACGGATTCAGAGAAAGCAGAATCTCAAATAATAATTTTGGCGTTTATTTTTGCGGCATCACATTTGTTCATGAATTTTTTTTTATACTTACATTGTCCATTTTGAAAAATCGCATGATGTTATCACGCATGATGATCAAATACGAACATAATTCCAACTTATGTGCAGATTGACATAGGCTCATTATAGGTACAGATTGACAGAATAAACAAATTGTCTGACGAGGTAGTCACCGAAACAAAGGAAAGAAAGGTAATAATTAGGCAACTACTCATTAAATTAAAGAAAAAACAGAATTTGTTCGCGGAATCTTAGGAAAGTAAGTGAATTAACTTTAAACGTGCTGGGATTTTCACCTCGAAGGTAAAATTTCTTTGACAAGAGAGTCCAGTGGCTGGAATCTCCAGTAGCTGAACACCATAATGAGTTCAAGTTGTCCCAAGAAAGTATTTGTAGCGAGATGAAGAAGATCTGTAAGTGGAGGCGGCAGTTGCTCATCGTTGTGGCGGATTGCCAAAAGTTTAGGATGGTAATAATCCATGATGGCCCGCATTGCTTGATATTCGCGTTTGCAGGAGATCATGCTTGGTTTGAACTTCTTCACCAAAGAAACTCCCATTTTAATGAGGATTTCATTTTTTGGTTTAGTGAGAACGACTTCCGAAAAAAATGACATGTCCACGCCTGCGAAAAAATTAGAATTTTAACAATGGTATAAATTATAAAAAAACAGCATTAACCAGAAAAAGAGGAAGATTTCTACATTTTAACCGATCGAACATTCCTGCTATAAAAATAAGCAAGAGACGATGCAATTTCAAAATTCTTAGGATAGACTATTTATTAATCAACGCTTTGTAAGACCTTTCTGCTCAAGAAGGCGCTCAAGCTCTTCGCTTCTGGCCGCTAAAGTGTCGCAGTTGGAAGGCTGAGCGAGATGTGATAGAACGAAGAGCAGAACATTGTTGTACCTGGAATCGAGATTTTTACATTATTTTTCCATTTTATTCAATCTTAATCTCATTGGAACGAAGATCTGATGTATCGAAGATATATATCATAGTTATACAAGCATAAAGTGTGTAAATCAAACTTTTTGAGTGACTCATTAACATCATATTTTATTTACCAGATTACCTGTCAATAGGATTTTCACGATTCTTTTCCTTTGTTGGACCAGGAAATGCAAGCAAGTCAACGAGTTTAACATGCACTTCTTTTTTCATGAGTCTCACAAAAGTTCTAGCAGCCATGATTTCTTGGATGCTTTTATGATAAAACTGGTAGACGACTGGGCACGCTGGGTTTGGAACTGTTTTCGTCAGGAACACAACTGAGGTGACGACACTAACGTCCAACTTGTTAAGAAGTTTCCACTCCCGGAATTTCGTTTCCAGACAACGCTGTACAGGTCGCATGTCCTCAGCTGACAGCATGACTTTATCGGCTGAAATGCAGTCGAATGCAAATTGGTAAATTTCCCCAAGAGCTTCTTGGATAAAGCACTCGAGGTTAACGAAATGTCGCTCCAGAAGCTTTTTTGCAATAAACTTTTCGTATAAGATTAGCATCTGCTCGATGACATCATTCGAAGTTTCCCAACTTTCAATGGTCTCAGGCGAATAGGTATACAGAAAGTAGAACAGTACAAGATTTATAGGATACACAAAAAATTGTTTTACTTCTGGGAGTAAGCTTTTGAAAGACAATGTCATTCCTAGTGAAGAAGGAGCTTCGGGAGATGAGTTCTCTTCGTATCTTTGAAGAAATTCAAGTTGATCCTCTTCCTCCGACAACGGAACGAGTTCAAAAGTGGTAAACTGAATTCCAGATGAATTTAGCAAATTTTTTAACTGATCAGCTCTGTGGGGTCGAGTTGTGAGAAGAATATGACACGAGATCATGCTCTTCATCTGGCGCAAAATTTGATTAATAACATTCGACGACGACTCATTTACTTCATCATATCCATCGATTATGACGATGTTACCAAGGGAGCAAAAACTGTTTAGGGATAACGAAATTTTGCGAAAAGCTTGTGGAAAATTATTTTTTACAGCATTTTCAAGAGACGTTGTGGTTCGGTCGCGACATTCCAGGAACAGGAGTAAATGGATTTCTTTGAGAAACTCAACTTCCACTGGGATTATGCCAAGAAATTGCAACACAATGTTTTTGACAACAGTAGTTTTCCCTGAACCAGCTTCACCAACGAGAACTGTTGCTTTCCTGCCATCTTCATTTGTTCGCTTTAAAATGTGTCTGTAAGAGATCTTCTCCGTTACTCCACCATCCGACAGCAATTTTTCCTTTACGAACAACTCCATTGGATGATAAACTTTTCCAGAATTTACTACGTTGCCAGTGAACGGAACAGCTTCTGACGTACCGTACTGGCGCCAGTATGACTGGCTTTCCTTCAGTGCTTCTGTTTTGAACACAAACTGTTGCTCCATACACTGTCGTTCATAATCAGTGTTGCCAACATTTTTGAATGATTGTTGGATTTTTTGTATATGTTGATCCACTGCTTCTTTTCCGATCTTTACTTTTTCCAAATCTAGGACCGAAAAAAGCTTGATCATCGTGTCTTTTGCTGTCGTGAAAACATGTTCACTTGTGGATGATGTCTTAATTTTATGACTAATTAGGTTTCTATGATTTCTCAATTTCCACAAAAGACATTCTGCTTTGGTGTCATCATGGTCACAAGGATTTTCGTGAGGGCAGTCTGCGATACCAGCAAACATTTTAATCAACTTGATCAGTAAAGTTACATCAAAAGCCGATGCGTCGTCTTCTTTCAATAATTTTATTTCTGAAGAAGTGAAATAGTATTTTTCTTTCAATTCTTTTTCTGAAAGTCTGGTTTTGTACTTGATGTACCAAAAGTAAGATTTAGATTCCACTTTATCTTCACTCAACCAACTCAGAAGAGTCTGAAGAGACTCAGGAATGAGTTTCTGTATGAGAACAGCATTCCGGTAACGATGTACTTCCTCTGGAGGTAGCAAACTCATAGGAAGTATCTCAGACGAGCAAGACAAATCATCACTAGGAACGGTTGCAGGCTTTTCAGTTACAGACTTCTCTGATTTTCCGCCTGAAGCACTATCATCAACACAACTGGAACCCAGTTTTGTCCATTGAACAGTAGAAGATAGGTGATGCTTGGGTGAAGCTTGAGAATCAATTTGAAATGAAGGGACGTTTGTAATTGATTGGTTCAGCACATTTTTGGTGATAGCTTGGTCTGGAATATGGCCATTTGATGGGAGCTCAGCTGCAACAGACGAGATGCTGCCGAGAGAAGACTGATTGAGTACTCTTTCTTCTTGGGCAACGTAGGGATGAGTCAAACGCAACCGATTAGCATTGTTTGTCGATAAAGTTGGACCATCTTTGGAAGGGGGTGAAATTGTGTCATCAACCGATATACGATCGTTTTGCGAGTTCAGTTCAAGAGAACTAAATATATTCAAGATAGGATCGGATGGAGAAGTTACCTCAGTTTTTTCATTTGTGATTTTAGATATCTTCGACCCTTTTTCACGCGAGGCTTCCGTTAAGGGTGCAGATAAATGACGACAGGAACATTCTGCAGCAAATCGGAAACACGTTGTACATTTAACGCTTGGAAAAACTTTCGCTCCCACGAGGCAATCTTGTACCCGATCTTCTTCAATATTCAAGTCCTTTATTTTGTTATCAATCGTGACCTGGGTATCAGATTTTATATTTTCAAGGGGTAGTTCTATTTTTGGTATTTCATTGTGTGAATTATTCAAATGATTGGTGTTTTGTTTGAATCCTTCACGGTTCATTGGTGTGCGTGAAGAATTCCCTTCACTAGGTAAATCTTTTCCAGTTCTGAGCAGTCGCAGTACCTCAGACATGTCACTTTGGATTTGTGAAACTCGATCACACATTTTGTCGAAATCTTGTGAAATCTTATCAACTTTTTCGTCGATGCGCCTTGTATTTTCTCGGAACTCCAGCAGACTTTGTTGGAAATTGCATTCAAGATCTGCTGGGAGGAATAATGAATAAAATTATAGATTAATGCTATTGCATACAATTCATCACCATCTAGGGGCTTGAAAATCCCGAGTACTTCTTGTCAAGAATATAAGAGAAACAGTTGAAAGTAAATTAAACGCATGAACAATTGATCAAGTATATACTGAAAGCCCACATACCAAAGTTAGTCAAGTGCATGCATGCAAATTTAAACAAAATTTTAGATTGTCTAACTTCGAGGTTTAGTGAAGTTGTTACTTCATTTGGGAATAAAATAATATTTATCATTATTAAGACAGTGTTTCATCATTTGATATAAGAGTACTTGATATTCAGTTTAATCGAGAATTGAGAACGCACCAGATATTTTTGCCTCATCCCGAGTATTTACGCAGTTGGTGCCGTCGTCTGTTTGAGAAGAGGAGTTTGTAGTCGACCGCTGCCCTACCGGTGTTTTTTTCTTTAACATTCGCGGGTCTCTTATCGGCGTCTCTGGCAGCCTTTCATTTCCGAACCGCGTGTTTTTTCTCATTAATGGCCATGATAATTGCCTGGTCGTACCTCCAACGATTTTATCCTCATTAGACGCTGTCTTCGGAATAAAGGATTCAACGGCAGATTTCAGTTTCTGCGTCCTCCTGTGTGACGAGGAGCTTTGATTCCCCGTCTCTCTGTCCATGTTAGTGGCGAATTTCAACGTGTGAAACTACCATAATTAACAAATCAGCGTTCAATACTGTCATAATTGAGACAATTAACGTTCAATACTACCATTATTAACACATTTAACGAGCAACACTTCCATAATTTACAGAGTCAATTTAAATGAACCAACTACAAAACTTATAAAAATGAACCAATGACAATTTTAACTGAAACAAACAGTTTATAATTATTTCTACCAGAACGATTTAGTTATAGTTTCCTACCCTAAGCCTAAGGAGGAAGAAAACGGGAAACGAATCGCCGAGACCTTGAGCCTTCGAATGTTGTGTATTGTAGCACTGAGGGAAAAATCAAGTTTGATAATTCCTTAGAAGCTATCAAGTGCGACTGCAGTCTCTCCCATAATGAAAATAATAGGCTACAAGCTACTTTTTCAACAACGCCTAATTCAATCCGGCAGTTCATAAGCAAGCGAAATGATTTGAGAAATGTTTACTGGAATGAAGTCCCAATCAGAAAGTGCCGAACACTAAGTTACTAACTGCCTTTTGACTCCTAATCATTTGGAATGATCTTATGTATAACTGATGATCAATAATTTGTTGTGTGAAAGTTTGACTTTATCCTATTGGTCCTGCATCCATCCCTCAAGCTTCATCACAATTTAAAGACAAAATATTTAATTTTTTTTGCCTATGTATGTACACGTGGCAGTTAATTTAAGGGTAAAACGTTGACAGAGGTTTGATCAGAAAGCTGTCGTTTTTTACATCACTTCTCTTTAATTAACTTCACATCTTGATGTTAGTTTTTCTGTCTGCTACAAATCTTATAATCGATATTTAACACACTTCTACCTGTCCAATTGATCTGAAATTTTGCACACTTGTGTAAAGTTGGGGACAATGCATGAATCAATTGACAGAATAAATAAGGTATTATTGCAGATTAACTACATCCAAAAAAAAGGGTGTTTTTTTTTAATTATATGTTTTTTGGGGTGTAGATTACGAATCTGAAATCCATTTTTGGCGGTCGGCATCGGAAAACCGATTTTTTGCAATAATACCGATCACAAGTTACGTAACCCCCATGTTAGTAAGTCGCGAAAAAAATCGGTTTTCCGATGCCGACCGCCAAAAATGGATTTCAGATTCGTAATCTACACCCCAAAAAACATATAATTAAAAAAAAAAACACCCTTTTATTTGGATGTAGTTAATCTGCAATAATACCATAAATAATTTTAATAATTTTAAAAACTATTTTTTTTTTCAATATTAATAATATGCGTTTAAAAACGGCTTCTTAAAGACAACACTTCTAAAGAATACTGTGTCTCCGATGTTACATCTCTGAAAAATAAATATGTCCTTGGAGCCGACCAGGGCATGAGCGAACTTCTGGGAGCTCAATTCTGGGAGCTCAATTTCTAATTTTATTTTCGAATATTAAAATAATCCATCTAATTTTTTTTAATATATAAAAAAGTAAATTTTCAAAATGATTTATTTTGTCAATTGATTCATGCATTGTCTCCAACTATACACAAATGTGCACAATTTCAGATCGATTGGAGAGGTAGAATTGTGTTAAATATTGATTATTAGATTTGTAGCAGACAAACAAACAAACAACAAGAAGTGAAGTTAAAGAGAAGTGTTGTAAAAAAATACAAATAATTTTGTCTGATACAAATCTTATAATCGATATTTTGAAACACTTCTACCTGTCCAATCTATCTGAAATATTGCACAGTAAATGCACACTAGCATAAAGTCAGAGACAATGCATGATTCAGATGACAGCATAAATAATTTTGAAAATTTACAAAAACTTTAGACATTAAAAAAATATTTTTTTTTAATATTTCAAAATAAAATTGGAAATTCATTGTACATTTGTAACATCAAAGATACTGGATTCTTTAGAAGTGTAGTCTTTAAAAAGTAATTTTAAAACACATATTATTGTAGGTGCAGTAAGTGAACTGGCATATGTCAACTGGTACTATATATAAATCATGGTTGAACTCTATGCTATCAACTACGTCAACTGCGGCGCTTACATGTTACTGCACTCGCACTGCAGCCTCTGATGTTGTGGTTACTCTGGTAGTTCGATTCTCGAAAAAAATCGAAACTCAGGAAAAATTAATATCAAGCAATTACCAGTGAGAATATTTTTTTGGTACTTCTTGATATGCATCGCGCTTTTAATGAAGATAAAGCTGTTTTAGTGTATGAGTAGAAAATCGTACGTGTGTTATCAAATATTCCATCGAGGGCTCTAGCTCATCATTATGATTAGGTAGACAATGTCAATATGTGCAAACATCATTTTGAAAAAGACGAATTCAATACAAGAAACGTTACATATTATTGCTTTACATATTATTAACTTGACATAAGAACGCCATACAACATCTACGCGTTTTTTTTTTCTACTTGACCAGTCAGACGTTCATGTTAAGCGCCGTCAAATACTTCAAATAACTTATGGGAAACATCAGCCTTCGTTGGTTAGTTTCTCGTGATAGTCCATGTGCTGGGCAAGCTCTGGGTTCGCGCTTCAAAGCCCTGCTATAACCGTGTAAAGTCGGTCCGTTTCACTTTGAGCGCTCTTATAAGTGTACACAAATGCACCAAAGAAATCAACGAGAGCAAGCTTCAGAGCAACCACGCTAGGATAAAAGTATAGTTAAGAAGTACTAAAGTGTGATTTAGACATGATAACTAAGTACGCGACTAACCACACCCCAAAACGCCCGGAGGTACACTGCCAGTCTGCCACGGCTGCTGTAGTCGCACTGTTGCACAGCTGCAGGCTTGCAGCGTTGGCGAGTCAGAAGTGCTAGGGTACTGTTGGTCTGTTATCAAGTCTAGTTTCAGAGTGTCGGCTCGGCCCACTCGTTGTTGCTTATAGAGTCTAACTCTAGCTCTAGGCTATCCGGCTCCGTACCAGCATTTGTACTTGATTCTCAATTTGTATGTAATTGAGTCATGTAAATGTAAAATACAGTAATTATTAATTAATTAGTGCAACCAAGTAATCAACAACGCTTAACAAGCCAGTCCAATACATTTTACTAAGCGGAGCAACTTGCATCATTGTCATTATTGGCTTGTGTGAATGGTCTATTGATTTCCGTTCATTAAATACGGGATTAGAAAAAAATTTTGACTCTCGGGACATATGTTGCAAAAATGAAATAAATTGAAACGAGCGCAGGTTATCACTCAAAATACTCCTGCTGGAAATTCTGAAGATAATTGTAAGCAATTCACGTGACTCGATTCCTTTGGAATAGTTTCGATGCCTGTGAAATTGCCGCTCGCAAAAGTGCCATAAACAATTTATTTGGTTGTCTTGCTTAATTGTTACGATGATCACACCGTTTTTGATGGAAACGTGATCGCTGAATTTGATTCTTTCGTGCAGGGGTATAATTTCCCATATCTTCAGTTCCAAAGTGTAATACCATCATGAATAAATAAAACTTCATGAATGATCACTGAAGGATGATTGAGTTATCAAAAGTCAACCTTTTATGGATACAAAGAATTTTTGTCTTATTCTAAAACTACAAACTTTTTAAACCTGTGATACCTAATACGAAATACTGCATGGATAATAGAAGAAAATATGTAGAAATGATGCAACACTTTGCGGTCGCTGCTTATCGCAAGTCGCTGTCACTGCGTTTGCGTCCTCCACAACTTCCTGTCGTTTGTTGACTACTCCACTGTGAGTGCTAACTCGTGACGAGTCAACCTAGAATTTACCGCTTACCAAGACACAAACAAGTAGTGATCGTTAGGCGTAATTTTTTCTGATTGAAAGTTTTTTTTATCTTGTGATGTGGAAAACTAATCAGTCTTTACTTCTTCGGTTTCAGTTCAGAGTACAACAGATATACAGTACGTGTTGACCATAGACAAATACGACAGTGACTCCCAAAACAGAGAGGACAAGGGAAGGATTTACAGGGTTTCTGTAAGCCAATGAATGTCTTGATATTTATGGCGAACCAAAAGCTTGCTAAGCAATGCAAACTCCAAACACTGCTAGAAAGCAAGTACTAGCAGCAGGAAACATTACTTCTTGTCCCTTAATCAACAAATAGCGGAAAAAGTAATGCCGTTCCTGGAGAAAGCTGTCATTCTATCGGCTGGAAAAAAACTATAGGAAATGTTCGGGTAAAACGAGAAAGGCATTCATCTCGCGAATGCCAAAAATGTGGAAATAATTGCGATTTCTGAAAATGATCAGTCGAAATCTCATTCAGCATATAAAAAATTAAGGTCCCATTTTAAATCTAGATGTAAAATCAACATCGTAGGTAGGTTAATGCTCACTGAAAAACACTAGTGAGCAGCCTCGTAGGCAAGTTTATGTTAGCAGATTGATAATTGGTTTCCTTTCAAGTCGCTGAATGTCGAAGTTATTAACAATTTTCGAGACGCGATATAGAAGATAGAGTATCATTAATTGGTCAAATATTGTAATCATCGTACAAGTTTGCAGGATGCATGCTTTTCAGCCTTTGACGTCGAGTGCTCAGCATGCACGACTCCGTGGCGTGTACTGCATACACGACAAGCTAACGCTCGAAGTTTCCTGCATTCACGACTCTTTGACTCGCCCAGCATTCAAGACTCTGACGCTTCCAGCATTCACGACTCTTTGACTCGCCCAGCATTCATGACTCTTCGACGCACCCAGCATTCACGACTCATTGACGCGCCCAGCATTCGTGACTCTTCGACGCACCCAACATTCACGACTCATTGACGCGCCCAGCATTCACGACTCATTGACTCGCCCAGCATTCACGACTCCCTGACGGGTTGTTTGGTCTAGGATCGACCGGTATTTAGAATTTCTCTTGTGTGAATCGGCGTGAACAAGACTCCCCTTTGTAAACTGTTAGTCGTTGCAAAGGCTCTCTTTGTCTAGCACTGCATGTGCATGACGGTGTGTGCATGCGAAGCTGCGACTTGCGAGTAAACAGTTTACAGAAGATCAGTCTTCAGTGTATTGTGGACCGCGGTAAGACGTGTAGGGTAGTGTCGTTTGAGCTCGTGCACACATGTGTGGCAGAATACATATGATGGAGAACTGTGGTACCGAAATGGAGTTAGTATGCCAGAAATAATACCTTTTATCGTTACATTGGGAAACAAATGCAAAAGCGTTACGAAAAGTTCAAATAAATATTTCAACGAGCATAAACATTTATTTTCCTAGCTGAAAGGCTCGGAGTTGGCAGTGATGAATTCTTGGCGCTTGACTCTTCTAATCAGAATATCGTAATCATATCAGTCTCGATTCATAGGGGGCTGTTATGTAGAGTTCCATCAAGGCACGCTTAGGCCAAAGATTTACCATAATTACGGACGAGAAGCCTCAATCACTTCGCATCTCAGAGTAAGCCTTAATGGAACCTGAACGATTAGCAGAGCGCGAGTTATTTATAATATTATCCATGTTGTTCATCAGTCAATTCCGTATGTGAAGAAATTAATAGAAAAAAACGAGCTTATTTTGGGTGTGGGTGTCTGTATGCGTCTGTAGAATACAGCTCAGAGCCTCAAAGCTAAGCTGCAGCGCGACCACAGCACAAATCATTGGATTGTTCTTGGTTGATTGTTTATCTTTGCCGGGTGTTCCTTGAATGCCTCATGTTGTAATCTAACTCCATAAAGAACGATTTTTTAAGTGACCTGAGCATTACTTTTGCATTGTAAACCTAGAAGTTCTTGCAATGAGTAAATGGCAATCGGGTAGCCGAAATCTTTGAGTCATTTGATAATCATCTCTATCTAGTATAAGTATCGCTCAACTAGATTTAGTGAATTTAATATTTAATGATAAGTTTAATGTCAATATCAAGTCTTTTAATGTCAATGGAATTTAAGATCATCATACACTTCTGGCAATGAACATTGTTGTATCCATCTTTTTTATTTGACGGTGCCAAAGTTAGTATTATTAAACGTCCGGAAACGGGAAAGCTACAATCGCCGGCGAAACTTTCACACATCTGCTCATCTTTCGAAGTAATATTCGATATTCCAGCGTGTATAATATTCCATCATTGAGTTAATTCTAGCAAAGATGCTATTATGTGTGTTTTGTTATTAGCGCAATAAGATCGAACTGTAGGTGATCAAACTTAAACTATTTGCTTGCAAGGTAGTATGATATAAATATGACGCCAATATCTTATTCTAGAAGAGAAGCCGAAGAGATGTCACAGCAACGACCTGCTCTGCAGACGGCAGCATCTCAAGATGACAGCTCCGGGCACACTAGTGACACTACGCGGTCTGCGGTCCAAACTCATGACAGCAGTCAGAGGCTGGAGGATCTACTCACTGGTGCGGTAATGTTTGAATAGAATCATTTACAATCAAGTTCAATAAGCTCTACAATTCATTTTACAGAAATTGAATGAATTTCACAGTCTTAAGATGCTGCGTTGTGTAATGACTTGATAAAATATACCCACATTGGCACGCCGCGAAAGATGATAATATCGCTTTCAGGAATCATAAATGTAATGTATTGGTTCTATTATCAAAAAGTTAGATGCAATTCTTCGCGACTTTCCTCAACTTGTGATTTTGATATCAAAAGATATTAAATGGGACGCCAGGATTCGTCATCGTATGCGTATGTAAAAAAAAGCAATCCCAAGTTAGGCATTTTCCATTTCTCAACCCTCATTGTCTCTATGGACATAATTTCCACATTGACTAAAGTGAGCAAAGAGAAAGAAACGACTAATCTCGTTTATTCGTCTGTCAAGAGGCTCCCCAGCTGTTTGCACTCTCCTGTGCTTAATTGAGAGTGATAGAATGATTGTACCATATTATTTATTTACAAAGTATTTAAGACCAAAATGCTGAGTATAGAAATCTACATTTGATGTTAGCTAAGTGGAGCGCTAGGACCAGGTGGGTGGCACTTGCATATCATTGCTTGCTATTGCATATCATTGCCTGTAAATGCCTGATTATCTTCTGTTAGACAGTAAACATTTTTATTGGTGGAAAATAAATATATATTTATTTCCGCGCACCTAAAATGGTGCGCGTAGCACAGGGTAAAAAGTACTTCTGATCGTGTAGAAGTTTTAAATGTTGATAAAAATTGTAATTTGGTTACTAGATTTGCATTCTTGTCCTTTTCATACTGACATAAATGTATCTATTCCAGGCCTTGGCAAAAGTTTCCAAGAAACTGTTGAGAAGATGAAATGTAACGAAATGAAAACCGACAAGCTCTCCAGCGAAGTTCACGAAATTAAAGAAGAAGTTTCTACAATTAAGAGTACACTGGACCAAGTTTTGAAGTTACTTCAAAGGAGCACCATAAGTTCATGTAGTGAAACAAACAGTGAAGTTCTAGCCTGCTCGTCAGAAAACTGTGAAGTTTTGGTTGAAAGAGACCAAGCATCTGATTCCTGTGCAGTTTTGAACTTCGATACCTCGGCCGTGGTGCCTGAATCGGACACAGATACCTACGAACAAAAGCCAATTGATGTTGATACATTCTCGTTGAACGCAATTTTCGAAAATGCTAATGATGTGGATAATTCTACAATTATCAAACCTCCTCCAGAAGAGTTATATGAAGATATTGCTGCAGATCATGACATGAATTTAGCGAGCGTATTCAACTCAGGTTCTGAAGAAGAAGACATTGCAAGTAAAGAGAAATCTACAGTAGTGTTCCGTCACCGTGATACCAAGTTTGCTGGTCCAGTGGAACTCAAGCGCAGCGACCTTTCCTCATTTAAAGTCTCCCGCAAAGTTTCACGTTCATCAAAAGCGCAAAAGAAAGCTCAGAAAAACACGGGTGGAAAATTCAAATGCAGCTCTGATTCAAAGATTCTAAAGGATGATGACAGCACCATCGTTAAAGAACACATCCTCAGTAGTAATGCTCCTTCCTCTGAAGGAGGAAATTTGCCTGAACTTTCAACGGTCAGCACTTCCGAACCTGTGAACCTGAGCACCATCACAATGCAAGGATGTGTTGATGAAGACAATATCACCACAACGCCAGATACTTCGAGTTTGACTGCATGCACACACGACTCTTCCGACGTCAACAAGGCAACGGCATCTGTAAATCCTACATTCCATGACAAATCTCATGATCCTTCTCCTCGGTTAGGGGCTATTCCTATCAGTCTGCTTCCACAAAGTGAAGTTAATCGTTATCGAAACGCTGCTCTTGTTCAGAAGCTCATTCCTGACGCTCTTCTAACCTTGTTTCTATGGATCTGCCACGATAAAGTTCAGAATGACGACTACCTCAGTTATGTGCTTGGAAAATTAAAAATATCTACGAACGATCTTAAAGGAAAACATCATGTCTCGGCTTCTGAACTGAAAACCCTTAAAGGCAATGATGCATCATCATTCGATATTACTCTACAAGTTAAATTGATTAAACTTTTGACCGATATTGGGGACTGCCCCCATACGACGATTGAGGAGCACGTGGCCAGCACTCCTGAGTGCCTGTTGTGGAGAGTGAAAGATTTCAGAAACGAAGTTAGCCACAAAATTAAAACTTCGTCAACAAGTTCAGACGTTTTCGACGCAGCCAAGAATGTTTTGATTGAGCTATTTTTCATAATTGGGTGCTCCAAATTGAACGTTGAGAGAAAAATAGTGGATGAACAAATAGAAAAAATTGAAGCAGCATTTGAAGGAATAGCAAATACAGATCATGAACGGAAATGCATTGAGAGACAGTATGTTTTTAGGACCGAAGCATTCAGTGAGAGTCAATCCTACTGGAAAGAGTACTGCACAACAGAGGCTGTTCCTTTCGACGGAACAGTCGTTGACTCCGAAAGCATCTTTCATCCGATGGAATTATACGTGGAAGAAAGATCCTCAGGAAATGTCAGTGCATCCGCTAAAGAATCCTACAGACAAATTCTGAAACGTACGCGTCTGGATGGAAGAAGAGCGACAATCCTGATTGGCGTTGGTGGTTCAGGAAAAAGTGTTGTCGTTAAGAACATTGCCTTGCAGTTCCTAGAAATCATTGACGCAGAAGTGGATTTTTTAAATGAAATTCACTTACTTCTCTTTCTTGAGTGCCGCGATCGAAGCACGGATTCCCTCGAAAAAGTTCTGCAAAATAATTTCCCAATTTCTTGCCGCAAAATCTCCATTGAAAACGCCGTGGATTGCTTCTGTTCAATAGGCAGCCTAATCATTGTCGATGGTTATGATGAAGTTAACGAATCTTCTTCAGAAGTTATCAATCAAATACTGCGACGTATGAAGAGCATGAGTTCATGTCAAATTCTCTTCACCACGCGCGATCACAAAGCGGAACAGCTTAAAGGCTTACTTTCCTCTTATGGAATCAAGTTCTCTAAGTTCGAACTCGTTCCTTTGTCAGAGGAGGCAGAACAATTGAAATTCCTACAAAGATATGAAATGCACTTGTCTGACGGTGATCATTCCTTTGAAAGAATGACAGAGTCTTTCAAGAAACTACTTCCTGATGTTAAGCAGTTTTTCGTTCATCCTATTAATCTAGTGCTATTCTACTCCCTATACAAGCATTCCTTTGAAACCATCGCCAGTTTGGAAACGGTTAATGACGTCATCGAACAAATGTTGATCCTGTACGAGAAATTCCTAGCACAAAAGCTTCTGGACAGACCCTTCGCTAACCAGGAGTGTTTTATTCGCGAAGCCTTGGAAGAAATTTATCAGTTTGCGTTCGACTGCATATCGGAAAACAAAATCATGATGTCAGAGGAAGACATGCGTCCTGTTGAGCGCTGTCTGGTGAAGAAATTCCGAGATTGGGACCTTCTGAAGACTCTGGACATCAATGTCGTCAAGTCGGTTGTGTTCCTCACGAAGAAACTTCCAAGTCCTAAACCGCACCTTGTGTACCAGTTCTACCATAAGGGTGTCCAGGAAATCATGGCTGCGAGGATCTTCTTTAAATCTATGAAAAGCGAACCAGATCTAGCCTTACAAACCTTGTTGAACAGAAGTTCCATCAAAAATAGAGAAACTTGGCATGAATTCAACAGGTTAGTCTTTCGTTTAATTTCAGTTCAACTTTATTTTATAATAACTATTATTATTTCCACAATTTTTGATACATTATTCAATTACATGCATTCATTGTTAAACATGTATATTGTTATAACTTTCTTTTTCAGGTACCAGAACGTCCTCCTCTTCGTTATGTCGTATCTCGCTCAGCCATCCAACATTGACATTCTCAAACACCGGGAGCCGGAACTGCGTAGCATATTTTCATCAATTGGTGTGTGCAGAAATTTTTGAGGATCACTAATGATATAATTTTCCCGGGTTTCCTAATATATCTTATTCTAAAGCTTTTTCTGTCTCTCAATTGTCATGATTTTCACATGGCAAATGAAAAGTGAAAATTAACTGTTGGTGCATCAAGTTTTGTGCCACAAGCCTTTCGTAGTAATATTACGAAATATAAATGACATTCCCTATTTATCCACAGGTGTGGACATGAAGTACAACTCTGAAATAGTGCTCACGAAGCCACATTGCGAGGCTCTTGTTTCACTATCAATAACTATGATGAAAAACTTGTCCCTCTGGATTACGAGAAGCCATCGGGAATACCAAGCCGCGTTTGTGATGTTAAAAAGTTTCCAGCCCGAGTCTCTACATATCGACTATCGGCAAGATGGCGACCTGCCCTCGTCCCTCAAAGATCTTCTGCGGCTCATTAAGCACAAATTTGAGGGCACGCTCCAGCTCTTCTTCAGCTCCAGTTTCAATAATTTTACTCCTCTTGATTCCGTCGTCCAGGAAATGGTGCCGTTCAGGTGATAATTTTGCCAGTATAGGAAATTTAAAAAGAACAATTCATTTAGGAAAGCATGATTATAATCAATTTCATCAATATCAAGCTTACTAATTTTCGTTGCAGTGCAGTGCTGTTAATATTTAAACATAACATAATATATTCTTCCATCAAGTAATATTATAAATGACGAGGTCAGCGCCACACCGTATTCATTAAAAGTTAAGCATCTATTTGGATGTTTAGCGAACTGATTTTTTAACAGTGAAGGGATTTCTTTTTGGTCCATGTTAAAAATTCAGTTCACTTTTAATCATTTAATCCATTCATCACTTCTTGGTCAATAATGCTGTATCGGATNAGTGGCGCCACCTTCCTAGGACTAATGGCCGCCACGTGGCGCGCAATTCAAATAAGTAAGTTCCCGCGCCGCACCCTGTATAATTCTTGATTGTCTTATGATTATCTTGCGAATCTACATTAAATTTCTCAACTCGATGAAAATATTAATACATGTATTCTTTCAGAAACGAAGTAATTATCATTTTTCTGTTATATTGTATCATATGAGCGCCTTCTGAATAATTTACCTTCAACTTGAGTTCTACAAAATTTAATTATACACGTCACTATCACAGTACGCCTTCTGTCGTACTGTGCTATTCACACAAATCATGGGCTAGCTCTCAACTTTTGTTCTACAAAATTATATTCAACATAATATAATCACAGTGGTGCGTGTTCAGTACAAGCCACCAAGTCCATCATCAGCGGCCTGTCCTCTGCCAATGGCCTCCCCAAGACTGTCCATCTCCTCAACCGGCGACGGTGCAGGCTTGCTGAGGCTCATAACGACCCTGGCGCCTCGCGATCTCAGGTGAGATATAAAAACTAATATAAATAATAATATTAAATATCACCAAAAAGGCCACCATTATATCAACACGAAGTTTAACACACGATAAACAATGCAGGTACTAACCTCTGTGGTGGATCACGTAGCAATGACAAATAGGTAAACATTCATTTGCGAAATTATCGGTGGTGAATCAAAACGGAAATGACAAATTTAACGAACCTTATTGTAATCCCTAACAATGTATATTGTTAACACTGTTTTTTTCAGGTACCAGAACGTCCTCCTCTTCGTTATGCCGTATCTCGCTCAGCCATCTCACATTGGCAATCTCAAACACCGGGAGCCGGAACTGCGTAGCTTATTTTCATCAATTGGTGTGTGCAGAATTTTTTGAGGATCACTAATGATATAATTTTCCGGTTTTTCTAATATATCTTATTTTAAAGCTTTTCCTGTCCGGCAAATTTTCAGATGGCAAATGAAAAGTGAAGATTAACTATTTTTGCATCAAGTTTTGTGCCACAAGCCTTTCGTAATATTCCGGAATATAGAATGACATTCCCTATTTTATCCACAGGTGTGGACATGAAGTACAACTCTGAAATAGTGCTCACGAAGCCTCATTGCGAGGCTCTTGTTTCACTATCAATAACTATGATGAAAAACTTGTCCCTCTGGATTACGAGAAGCCATCGGGAATACCAAGCCGCGTTTGTGATGTTAAAAAGTTTCCAGCCCGAGTCTCTACATATCGACTATCGGCAAGATGGCGACCTGCCCTCGTCCCTCAAAGATCTTCTGCGGCTCATTAAGCACAAATTTGAGGGCACGCTTCAGCTCTTCTTCAGCTCCAGTTTCAATAATTTTACTCCTCTTGATTCCGTCGTCCAGGAAATGGTGCCGTTCAGGTGATAATATCGTCAGTTTGAAATTAAAAACGAACAATTCATTTAGGAACGCATGATTATAATAAATTTCATCAATATCAAGCTTACTAATTTTCGTTGCAGTGCAGTGCTGTTAATATTTAAACATAACATAATATATTCTTCCATCAAGTAATATTATAAATGACGAGGTCAGCGCCACACCGTATTCATCAAAAGTTAAGCATCTATTTGGATGTTTAGCGAACTGATTTTTTAACAGTGAAGGGATTTCTTTTTGGTCCATGTTAAAAATTCAGTTCACTTTTAATCATTTAATCCATTCATCACTTCTTGGTCAATAATGCTGTATCGGATGTATAGTGACATTAAATGCCTCTGTTCTGTGGTGGCTCATCAAAACAAAATTTGCGATAAATTATGCGAAACTCTACACAGAAAACTTCCTGGCTTTAGGGAAAAGCTAAAAATCTCAAATAAATTTGTTCCTATTGTGAAATATTGACTTTTGCAAAGGGCTTATTAATTATAATTTAGCCATTGCCATCGGGTTCGCTAGACTTTAACAAGGTAGTTTCAAAAACATAGTTGGATGCGTTGAGATCAAACCAATTTGTAATCTGGAATATTAAAATCTCATTTTATATCTGTTCATCATATTGGAATAATTATTCAGATTATTGACTGCATCGATCACTTTGATACTCATATTATTCGACCTGCTTTGCCCCTCAATCCGCCTGTAACTAAGCTACTTTCAATGCTTATTTTATGAACATTCTAGTTGAAGTAGCTGAGCTGAAACTCTAACAAGTACCTATATGTCGTCTTATTTTCACCGCTACTCCATATCATGTCGAGTTCTTCATTAACTAAAGGAGGGTAAATAATTCAATACTGTGTTCGCTTGGTCAAATATTAACTGTTGAGGAGATCAGTTGCAATTATTGATCACATTTGCGCAATAAATCACCAAATTGTGTACTTGTTTATTGCGATTATTGCATGGTGGTGGTACAAGGCTAGCTGTACTTAGCTCACTATAAATACCTACTGCGCAATTAATACGACCAATGTGTAAATAATACTCTTCATCATTTGTATTTTTTACTGTATAACTGTTTCTCACACAGGTTCACTCTAGACCACTTCAGAGGATGTCTGTCGACTAAAGCAGCAGTTCAGCTAGAGCTTGGCAGAGCAGCTCAACAAATGCGACACTCGCACTTCGATGGCCATCGCTCTGCTCGATCCCTACGACCATCCGCTGGCGCCGCTGGAAAATATCAAAATGAAATCAGGTTAACTTTTCTCTCATAATTTAGCTCTTTTTGGTTATTAAAATTGTTAATTTACGGGGCTAGGTGATGATTGTTGTCTGTATAGTGGAACATGGTAGATTTTGTTCTGATATTTTATTCAATTTATGAATTGGACGAAATTAAAGATACAATTGAATAAGAAGTGCCATCAAAGATTATATAATGTTTTTCTCATACATAAGAAATCAAATCACCAAAATTTATACTGGCTTCCATCGAACCCTCGAATTATCGTCTGGCGCTTCTTTAACTCTTCGTTTGGGTTAAAAATTGTTAGCTGTGAAAGCTTTTAAACTTTTTCTTTAAAATATTGTGCACGGGAAATGTGTTTTCAAAGAGTCGATGATAGACGGCAAATAGTTCAGATTCATCGTTTTATAATTCATGATTGTCTTATGATTATCTTACGAATCTTAATTGAATTTCTCAACTCGGTGAAAATATTAATACATGTATTCTTTCAGAAACGAAGTAACTATCATTTTTATGCAATATTGTATCATATGAGCCCTTTCTGAACAATTTACTTTCAACCTGAGTTTTACAAAATTTAATTATACACGTCACTATCACAGTACGCCTTCAGAACTCTTAGCCCTTAACTTTTGTTCTACAAAAATATATTCTAAATAATATAATCACAGTGGTGCGTGTTCAGTACAAGCCACCAAGTCCATCATCAGCGGCCTGTCCTCTGCCAATGGCCTCCCCAAGACTGTCCATCGCCTCAACCGGCGACGGTGCAGGCTTGCTGAGGCTCATAACGGCCCTGGCGCCTCGCGATCTCAGGTGAGGCGCGGGACGAAACCAGCTAGCTGTTAAAACCATGGTTGAACTAGTAGAATAGTAATATATACATAGTTCAACCATGGTTAAAACGTTTCAAACCCCAGTGAGGACTTTCTTCTTTGGGATTCGCCCGGATTTCTAAATTCCAATCAAACTGTTCCGGATTGTAACGATGAAATTGAGGGAATATTGAACCACTACACTTTACACATGACTACTCCGCAAATTCTGAACTTCTTTCCTTCTATTCGCTTTGTAAGTAGTGAAATATATCATAGATCTAGATTATAATAAACCCGAAGTTTCTCATCAATCTGCCTGAAAGAGTAATACGCTACGAGACTCGAGATTTAGTCTTAATGGCGGGCAATTCAAAGTGTTGGAGGTAGTTTGATATGTCATTTAATTTCTTATTACTACTACTCTAACATAAAATTTTCCTTTGCAAAATTATCCGCTTATTTCAATGCATGTTTAGAGTAGGTAAACCTCCTTAGGACATTGATGAGGTCTTTCAATGACTATCAAGTCGGACCCTCAATACTCGATGCTTTGTGTTAGTTGTTGGTCTCGTCAGGGTTCGCGTCAGCACATCCACCTACTAATTCGTAACTCATATTGTGAAGCAGACTAGTTTATCCAATGATTCGGTAAGAGCCTTATGCTTACTTTTTATTACCGACATATATTTTACGCTGATAAGTATTACTTTTAGTATTAGTATAGTGATGTCGGCGCTGTAGAATTGGTCTGATGTGGCCTGTTGCCGATTCTTGTACTTTTCGTGGCTTGTTCACAGGAGATCTACAAAAAGGTCCGCCAGGTTCGTAAGATGATAGTCATTTTTCGCTATATTTTACGTTGATTTTATGCTATGGGTATGAAAATAGAGTATATTTTTCTTATTCGGTTAGGTTTGAAGCCATCTCGCTGGAGCGCTGCTCGTCGAGCGCCGTGTTCCTCCAGCAGCTCGTCGACGACCTCCGCAGCCGCGGCGTTCACACCAACTCTGGCACGCGGTCTGGCGTCGAAAAAATCAAGTAATGCTTCCAATTAATGTTTATAAGCAGTTCCAATTATTAAATCGTAGAAACGTGCTCAAAGCTAGTTAAAATTGCGTAAGATTATGGTTAACGCCTTCTAAAATTTTTAGGGTTAGTTTAGGACGACCATTCATTTATTATTATTTGAAAGTTTGCGCAATTTTTTGAATGAGCTATAAAAATTGCTCAACTTCTAAGTTTTGTTTTGAAATTATTTTAACTTTTGTTAAAGTTTTAAGTCGTAAACTGCAATTTTTCTTGGCTCATGCGTATAAAATGTTTAAATTTGTGTAAAAATGTTGAGCCTGTAAAAGATGTTTTTTCTAAGTTGCATCGTAACTGGAACTTGTGAAATGAATCTGAATTTTTGATCGAACACTTTTTTGGCCATTCACTGCCAAATTTAATTCAAAGGACATTTTGGAGTTTTTATTGAGAATCATGTTGAATTTTGAAGAACTATCGGGCGAAAAACAATGAATTTCGGCTCGTATAGAAAAGTGAATTATTTTTTCTTCTAAACGAAATAACGACGTAAACCTTATCATTTTATAGTACACAATTTCATTACTTTCTTGATTTTTCTCAGCTTCAATCACGGATTGTGCTCGGGATGCAACGGTCGTGTGCACATGGAGGGAGAGAGTTGCTATACGTTACACGTCAGGGCGTCGTGAATACCGGGCTCTACACGCCTGGTGCTGGTGCATGAATATATAGCATATAACTATAAGTTAAAAATATTTAGAGGAAAATTTTCCTGTTACTAGGGATTTGAGAGGTAATTTTTTTAGTTGTTCTCTTACGAGTGTCAAATTTAGTCTTCTAGAAGTTTTTGAGTAACGACTGTTCTCTTGAAGAACTTAACCGAAAATTTCCTCTTCAGATTTTTCAAAGACTGATTTATCGTACAAGATTTAAGCATTCAAGTCTGTTTCTTCTTGGATAGGATGGAATTTGGAAATCGCCTAATTAAGGTTTAAAAACATAAATCAGTATTGAAAAAATTTTTGTTTACCAAAACCCCGTAAGAATCTGAGCATTAGCAGTTGAATACACGCATGAAAGTCAAAGCTTCACACGAATCAAGACAACACAGGAAATCGAAACTCCTGCTACGAGGTCACATACGACAGATAGACTCAATTCTAACATTGCTGGCGCCCATGACGTTACTCAGGCATGGAATAGACATTACAAAGTAGAGCGTATGTTATTATGATAGGGTAGGACGGTGGTAATAATTTTTTGTTATCTACAGTGACATATTTTCTTCAGTTCCGTGTCTTCAATACAAGTGCTTTGGTTTCCGTACAGATTTATCCGTGAAATGTCTTCTAAAACTTTCCAAGACTTGTTGTGTCCCTTGACGACAGATCCTTCGAAATGGCCGCCTCCTGAACAGAAAAATATATGGAAATGGTATTTGCAATCACTGGAAATAATGGTAAGTGTTATTTGAAAAACAATTTAATGACTTATAGGCCAAAGTAATTTAAATAATACTTCTTGGTCTAATAATGAAATCAACGATCAAGGTATACTCTGTAGATAGTCAGTCCATATCTAGTTTGAATTTTGACATTGTTAAGATGTCATTCAAGATGGTTTGTAAAGATTCAAGTTATTTGAAGATGTTCTAGCCGAAAGTTATTTAACTGAGAAATTTATTCACATTAAAAATTATTATTTAAGTATTCACAGTGTTGTTGTTTCAATATACAGAGATGCGACATTCGAAATTTTGATAGCTTGATATTAGTAACTTACAATACTTTGGTCAACGAGACCAAGTACAGGGTTTTGATCATTAAAATTTAACAGAAATCAAGTGTTGAACATTGACATTATAAGTTATTTTATGGAACATAATTGACGAAAACTCCTTTTATTTCTCCACCCTTTGAAGCTGAAGTGGTAACAAATGTCGTTATTAATCGCATATTGTCCATATAGAATTCGGCCACTATTTACATTATTCTCAATATTTAATGGCTGCAGATACTTTCACCGACAAGTCTCACCTGGCGTGGTTTCGATCATCACGGAATACATCGTCCACTTATCTAGTTTTTTCGTGACGGTTCCTTCGCCGAATTTCTCGTGATTCCGGTACTCTCGAGCACTAATGATCTGTTAGAAGAAAATTCATTACAATTCAATAAAAATTTGCAGGGTAGTAGTAGGAGGAGTCATGGTAGGATGCGTGCATAACAGCTCAAGTGTTACACATACTTTCTAATGAGGATGATTTTAACGTCAACGAAGAAAGTTCGCGATATCGGTGTAGGTAAAATATAAAATACTTGATATATTTCGGGTTATTCCGTTTCGATATATTTATAGATATATGTGATTACCAAGCACTAAAATGCGTAACTATAACTCACTTCCTTGATTTCCAACCTAGAACACTCGGAGTGTTCTTCAATAAGCTTATTTATGGCTTGCGTGAGAACTTGTGCCGCTTGCTTGACGTCCGAATTATGAGTGTTCGCAGGTAAGGAAGACTGACAGGCGCAGTAATGCCATGGAATATGAATTGATTCGCACGTCCTGTTCGTTGGAACCTCCAGAAATAGGCTTTGTCCCCGTCCAGCAGGTGTTTTAAGGTCTAATGAGGCATTATAGGCCCCGTGTAATATGTCGAGAAGGGTGCTATGGAGGTCGTAGTTGTTCGTCAAGCGTCGTTGGTTGGTTAGTAAGTTACGCCATGTTTCCGGAAACTCATCTTTAAACCATGGAGGAAATAGCATGGTTACGAAAGGTAACCTTTCTTCCAAGGCACCAAGGTAGGTAGATCGTATGTCGCCAAATCTAAGGCCGTGGTCACTGAAGAAGAGAAGAATGGTGTTATTACGATGAGGTGATTGTGTAAACTTTTCTAGGAAACGTAGTGTGGGTTTGTCTAGAGGGGCTGCGTCCTGATTACGATCGTGTGTGTAAGTGGCGCTCCAGAAGTGCCCAAATACAGGCACCTCATCGGATAGGTTATCCAGAGCCCTCATAATTTGATCGTAAACTACCTCCGTACTGGCCTGAAGACCATAGCAGTAGTGGTTTTGAGCTTTAGGATGGCCGATCTCTTTTTCAGAGAGCAACATGTATGGGCGAGCATAGAAATCAACAGGGGGTTGGACAAATCCGATTTTTTCGTAGTGGTAGAGTCCCATACTGGGTGCGTCTTCAGAGTACACCGTTGCGTAGCCTTGAGCGGAGAAGTTCTTCCAAATGAAAGGACAACTGTCGAAGTTAGCTTTTTGTTTCTTGTAGCAGTCCAATTAGTAATTTATTTTTGGGACTTAAGTCGTTAGTAACACACCATCATTCCATTCTCCAGCAAAGCATATGATCATTTATTGATAATAATAATTGTTATTTGAGGGTTCAGACTGCTTGTACAGTTGTGCGATAATATCCTAAGCCCTTATAATAAAGGCTTAAATGAACTGACTCAACAAATTCAAAGGAATGAAATAAAGCAAAAACTTCCTGTCCTGTGGGCAGGGTGGCCCAGTGGTTACAGTTCAGTGCATCATAATCGAACGCGGGTTCGATCCCACCTCTGTGCGCTAGTTTCTGGTCAGAATCGGCGAAGAGGCCGCGGGCGGTTAAACACAGCAGAATTGTAGCAGTGAGTTGCGAGTTCGAGACCGCATAATGCTGTGAATGTTCTGCGATATTAAGAATCGGCGACATGCCTACGGCCTAATAAACCTTGATCGAAACCGCTATATACTAGCGCTTACTTGTATTTGTTATCACAGTCCGCATCGAACTTTTTGAAGGATTGCGTGGTCCTGGTGATCTCGTGAACACAGCAGGACAGCGAGTCGAGCGTCACATCGTAATGTGCCATTAATTTGGGGTCCTCATTAATCTTGATCCTGAATCCTTCAGTGAAGGTAAAGGGGCTCAAATTCTCAGGATTGCAGACCATCTGGCGTTGATTTAGGGTAATAAATAAATATTCTAACACATCAAAGAACAATTAGACATGTCAAGATATACTGTAGTCCTCCAAAAAGTTTGATTCTTCGGAGCTGAGGTGCTCAAACTGTCATACGGGAGGGTCTGCCAGGAGGTACGCAATCACTTCCCCTACAATATCATGAACGATCTTCAGCAATGCTGATTATTATTGAATGTAATAAAATAAAATGTAAAATTTTTGTGATAATGGGTAGGATTCATGATACGTTTTTGGTGCTTGCCCGAACCTCCAAATGGTGAACAACCAATCAACCATATCAAGTTGGGGAGCCCTACTCTCCACTGCCGGATCAACCTCGTCTGAGGAATGTTGTCATAATCGAAAATACAAGCAAGGTTAAATGCAAAATCGCCTAAATTGATTTATCAGTTGGGAATGCCTTTATCAAGAAATAATCTTGATTTGCACATGTGCATAATTGGTGAACTTATATGAGATGGGAATAATTTCAAAAACGGTCAAATTAAGTAGCAAAATTAGCGTAGAATGTGAGATAACAGTTTTAATCCTCTACCGCCTGACATGAGTAACCTAAGCAATATTGTCACAAGCCTACTTCCAGAAAATGATACGTTGTTTGTGACCGCAGAACGACTTGCACTGATGGTTGGAAAGGTTTTCTGTTGCGTACAAACGACCTCACGTTGCTACACTTAATAGTTCACGTATAATTTAAGTTGCAAGTTACGTTTCCGGAGAGATGCATGCCAGAGGGCATTATTGCCCGAGACCAGCATTTCTTTCATACTCATTTCCGTGCATAAGCCTTCTAAAGGGCTGAGTAGACTAAGGCCCTAAGGGATTATATGTTAAAAGCCAAAGGTACAAATCACCTTCATGGAAATGAACCAGCGAGGTAATGAGAAGTAAGCCACCAATACATTCGCTCTAAGCCGTACTTAAAACCGCCCAACAGCTCTATCCCATGCCGTCTAACCTCCTCACGATTTTCTGTAAGAAACTCCCTGCGCTACAGCGCTGTTGGTGCACAGCCAGCACTCCAGCCCGTCCGTTCGTCGCAGCTGTTTTCCCCCAGCATAACTCTACCTCCACGCTTACCCCGTCTCCCCGCCTTTTTGCACCGACTGCCGGACGGCTTTTCATTGTTTCTGCTCACTTGACTGCATTACGCTATGAAAAGAGGATCTATACGAGCTGTAACCTAACCTAATTCGGATAAGCATTAAAGGTCTGCGAGAAAAGCCTCCAGCCAGCCATGACGATAAAGGTGGAGAGTCGGGGTAAGTGTGGGGGTAAGAAGATGCTGGGGGATAGTAAGGCGGGGAAACAGTGACGCGGGGTTCACGTCTTGCGGAGTAAGTAAGGCGATGACGCATTACTTCGATATTAACTCCTAAATCTTTTTCCATTGTCGACTTCGACATCATCACTCTGTCGTTGCAACCGTGTCTTCTCATACTGTAATCTTGCTGTTCCTTATTCTTGCCAAGGTATATTAATTTACATTTGTCACCGTTAAAACGCAGCTGCCACTTATCAGCCCAGTCAACCAGCCTGTCAAGATCACCTTGTAACTGTAACATTTGCAGCAATGCAGCGTGGGCCCGTATGCTAAATAGGGCACTAGCACTACGAAGTAGCACTACGCACTACAAGCCGTAGTGCCTACTAGTGCGACATGGAACACTACGGTTGGATTGCTAAATAGGGCACTAGCACTATGAAGTAGCACTACGCACTACAAGCCATAGTGCGGCATGGAACACTACGGTTGGTATGCTAAATAGGGCNGACCTGCAGGTTCCAAGCGCAGGTTGCTTGCACTCTGGCGCAAGGCAAAGAGAAAGACCACGAAGGTTGGGTTTAGTTAACCTGAGTTCCAGCCCAGGGCTATCAGAAGAGCCGTGGTGTCGTGCTATCCGACGTGGCGCTTATGCGCTCAAGCAGAATGTGTGCGTTCTGTTGAAGTGGTTGTGGTTAGTGCGCTGGAGGTCGCAGCTAACGACACCTGTGCTCGTTGCAGGTGTCTGTGCACCTGTGCAGGCTTTCAAATACACACCCCAAATGCTGGGAAGAAAAAATTTTTTAAAGCCTTCCCTTCAGTTTATTAATGAAATTTAACTTCTAACTGCGCGAAATTCCCCCAGTTTCACCTTTCGAGCTCGGATAACAAATTACGATCAAGGTAGGAAAGAGTGGCGATGGTTCTTGGCCAACAAGAAAAAATGTATCCACAAAACTCTTTTAATAAATATTTAAACATAATAATGGTTTAAAGTTAAAGTTTGACTGCACATAAGTTGAGGCTATCTGCATGTTAACACACGATTATAAAACCGAAATTTTGCTGCAAATTCCGGTTGCTGCTCTTATTTTATGAATGAAATTTTGAATTGAGCCTCGAGTGGCTCAGCGATTATCTACCGTGAGCGTCGCCAGGTTTGCCAACTCGTATCTAATATACAATTAAGTTATTTTTATTGCATTCAAAGAAGCATTTTCATGTTCTTGCTGCTCGCCCTATCCATAGCTGCAGCCAGTCCCTTGTTATTGATGGAGTTCATACAATACGATGCATTTGCAAATTTTTATGTATGCTTACGTGATTGGTTTCTTCTGCAAAACTTAGGAAAAGAAAGATGGAAAATTCTTCCATGAGATTTATTATTACATTCACTGATTTTACAATATATTATTGATCAAAACTCGACAATCATGAGAACAATCAAACCTCATTCAAAACGAAAATTGAACTAACGAAGTTCTCTGTTATGCCGTAAAATAAAACATAGCTGAATAATCTAAATAAACGCGTTGACCTCTGCAATGTTGTTGCTAGCTGCATGGGAAGCGCTGAAAACCAAACCATTTAAGGGCGTCATTATAGATAATGTAAGTAAATATAAAAAGGTTGACAATCTCAAAAGGACATATTGAACAGCTATTGGATGCTAGGGACGTGCTCACTAACCTTGAATGGCTTTTCAATGAATTTCTTGATGCTGACGTCATAAGGATCGTAGTCAGGCATTCTGCAAGATGGTGTGTCGATGAGGTACCCCAAGTGCGTGCCATCTACTGTGAGGAAATAACTTTTAATTGATTCAATTAAATTACGAATAGATTAAGTAGTTTAAATATTTGACGATAGTACATATCTTATGTTCAAAATCATGTATCAATGTTTGATTGTGTACATGCATTGCAGGCCTACAGTGTTTGAAGGGTGAAATAGTGAAGGGCCTGCAACAATAAAATGAGATATAGTGAAGGGTCTACAATATTATTATAGGCTCCATGACAGAAGAAAATCAAGGAATATCTTCATGACATAGCAAATTGATTCAATGCAACACGAGAAACAGTTACGGAGAGCACCTTACGAGAGAGCGAGAAGAATAGGGTGATAGGATGCATGAAAACTGTCTTCTAAACACATTTCAAGCCGTTCCGTAGAACCGATTAATAGCAAACACAACATTTCTAATTGACTAATTCATGTGAGGTTATTAATACGAACACATCTTATTGTTGAAAATTTTCGATTTTCTTTTGGCTTGGCTATATATATAGTATAGCAATAGTTTGATACATCAAGCAGAGTTGGTTAACTTGCATTGAAATATGCAAAGATGCAAATTTCTCAATCCATTGCATGAATGAAAAAAACACTCTAAGATATATTTACTCCTATGGATTTTCCCAAAGCAAACGTGAAGGGTAACTATCCAACTTTAAGTTACTATTATCAAATTTATAAAATTAATTGAATGGAAATTCCGCCTTAAAAAATGAGGAGAAGCGTCAATTTCCTATTCCGGGCTCACAAACTTTAATTGAAATGCTCATATTTTATTTCTTGGGCAAGGTTGTGGATGATGGAACGATGGTCAGATGGTAGATGATTGGGAGAGGCATGATAATGAAGCAGCAAGCACAAACTGCAGGGTCTTGTGGGTCTTTTTAGGAGATTTTAACACGTTGACTGCGATTGTTTCATCTTGAAATATAATTTCATTTTTTGTACCATATCTGAAGCGTGAAACAATGAAGCAAGAAAAAGAAAATGACAGAAATTGAATAAGACAACCAAATGAAGTCCAAGAATAGCAAAAGCTTTTAGAATAATAATAACATCTCTTTGTTGACTCGTTTTGTCTAGGCTTAATATAACTCATCTTTAATAATGTTTCGTCTAGGCAGTGACGATATGATGTTATAAAATTATAAAATTGTTTATCTCCTTTTCCATTTATTTTTCTTAATTGAAAAATGAAAAAACCAGTTGTCTCATTTTATAACATCGATCACTTGATCGATATAAGAAGCTCAATCTTCATCTGTAACCACCCGCAGCAATAAAACCAAGGGTGAATGAAACCGACTTAAATCTAAGCTAAATATTCAATAATTCAAGAGGCGAGTGGACCTATAGTAACTGAAATTTAAATGAGACAACGTTGAAAATTTCAAGTGGCCGGTTCACGCCTATTTCGTGCAAGTCCCGTGCAAATATAGAGGATATTAATGCAGTGCGTAAGCGTTAGAACGAAGCGAGACCTTGCGACGTTGTAGGCAACCGCAGACGCGCTGCTTCGGGCGCTGGAGGGCCGACCTCGCTCTCGTTCGTTGCTGCGGTAGCTGTCACGATGAAAATAATTCATAGGTTGAAGTCAAAATCCCAGAAAAAGGAGTAATTTGTCAGTATGGACTATGTTTTTCTTACATATATTTTTGCGTAGATGAATTGAAGGTTTCTTTCATTGCAAGTTAACAGAGGAATAAATGAAGAATAATAACTTATAATATAATAATAATATATTAAAAATACTCAACTTAAAGGTGAGTACGTCAGCATGAGAACATGACTGAGATAACAACTGAGTGATAATACTTTCAAATACATTACTAAACTCAGCCCTTATAAACTGTGTTCAAAGCTTCCAGAAATAGCAAATAGACTCGGCTTAGAAGGTGAATCGTGTTCATATCGGCCATCTACCCTATTTGGCTGGAAATTAGGAGCTTATTGCGGGAGTCGATTGCACGATGGGCCGAATCTGCGCAACGTAACCAAAACGAGCAGCTGGCCAGGCTGTCTGTCTCATGTAAGTTGCTAGTATTTGAGCGTACCATTACCATCACCCGCTCATGGAATGATGTCGATGTATGTACACGCGGACGTCTGTTGGAGCATACGATGGAACGAAATGTGGATTGACTTTAAAAAGTTTTTGAGCTTACGTAGTAGTTAAATAGTATTTTCATTAATTATATGACAAAAATATCTTAATTTATTTTGCTATAGTTAGAAACCACAGGCTGCTTGACGGCATGGAAATATGATTTAGGGATGCAAAAGGAGAAAAATACTTGATAAGCATATGACAGTAAAATAATTGATTCTTGTGGCTCCAAGAGATAAATTTCAAATCCTTATCATAAGATACATAACTAAAATGTAAGCTGTTATTTGGTAGAAAAAGCAACAGATGAACATTCGGTTCATCAACAGATGAACGTCAGGGCCTACAAGTTTTTTATTAAATGTTCAAGTCGCAATGATTTGGGATGCAACTACTTGAAATTGTAATGACAGTTTATTGCCTGATGACAGGCATTGCACAATGTACCTTTGGTTACTCAATCAAGGTCTACAAAATTTAAATATTTTCACGTGAGGTTCACAATTGCATCATATCGTGGTGCGGTTCAAATAATTCGTTTCTTCGATGACGTTTGTGCGTGCTGGGCATGAGTCATCGCGTCGCAAGTATTATGACACCTCGCTACTTTTTGAACAAATTATTACAAACTATATTCGGTGGTTCAAACGACATCGATGACACAACTTAGTCCACGCCTTACGGTTTTCATTTCACATAGATACTTAATTCTGTTCGCGGCGCAAACTTTGTTATTAGACACGTAGAATGTTTAACCTCCACCCATTATACTCGCCATTATTTGGGGGTTACCACTAACTCGGTTTGGGGTTATGCAGGGGGAATGAGCAGACGCCGAGACTGCAGTGCTGGCGCATGCAGTTGCCTAGTTCTGCTTAGTCTTGTTCACATGTTACGTGGCACACGATTCTCATTTCAGTTGTGTAATCGTACAGTGGAAAGTGAAATAAATATGTGACTTTAAAATAAGTACAGTGGAAATAAATATGTGACTTTAAAATATTTTTTTTTTCGACGGATAGACATGTTAATTCTGAGCATTTTTAGAAGCACAACTTTCAAAACTTGTTGCACCAGGAATACAAATCGGTTAAAGCTCATACAAATAATATCATTCCAAGTCCGTACACAATATAATGTAAAGCACCTGCTTCTACACCCTTGAACTCGACGTAACCGTTCGTTGTTTTGTGCGGATCATTTTCTGCATGTAATTATATCAAGCTCCGCACGTTGAAATAACCAGGTGAATGCACCTTGTCTACGTATAACCTCCATTTAAAATGCATTACTAACAGAAAATTCAATCTGGTTTTTTAACTTTGTATTCTGTATAATACTGGGGGAGATAGAAAAATATAGAAACAACAACATTGCAGGAGAGATATCGAAGCACTCTTCTATAAAGTATTATAATTTAGCTTCAATAAATTGCTTGTTTATAATGTAAATGGATCGTTCGGGATAACTAAATAATTCGTCACCTAATTGCAAGGATTGGACCTCATGGCCACGAAAATCATAGTAATACTCACTTTGAAAGGCAATGGGTTGCCAGTAATGTTCCATTGCCAGCCAGTAGGTGAACGACACGCACACTAAACTAGTGAGCCCCAATAAAAAACGTGTGATGGGCTTCATTTTTGCTGCTTTTGCCAGGCTGATTAATTCATGAAAAATAACGCGAAATAATCAAATGAAATGAAAATCTGAAAGTAGAATCGGTAGTAAGAAAGTATCTATTGAAATAGCGGAATGAAAATTAACTCAGAAGAGGAGAGAAAACGTTCAATACAGTTTTACCACATGCTGGATATTATATGTAGGCAACCTAAATTGGAATTTCAAAACCGTGTGAATTAAAACATTAACGCATATAGTTACTAGCCAGCGGATGATCACATCCTGCATAAACAGTTTAACAGCTACCGATCATTTACCCACAATCTTACCCCGAATCTTGACCATCCAAATTTTGTAAACGATCATTTACCCACGGTCGACCATCCACAATTTAAACCGAGAACCCAGGGCTTAAAATTAGTTCTAATGGTCTGTCTTAACATAAAATAACATAGCGATGTCGGCGCTGAAGAGTAGGCCCAGATTTGGCCTGTCGCCGATACTTGTACTTTTCGTGGCTTGTACACAAAAGATCTAAACTCGTGTCCTATTACCGGATCTTTTCAAGACTGACGATAGTTTGAAATAGCTATACTAGACTTCCACCGTGGGTTCGATATGGTGCTAGGCATTCAAGTCATCTTTCCATTGCTTTATCTTGTCTGTCGAGAACGCGTTCATACTCGGAGCGTCAACGACGTAATCAGGGAGGCTATTCCACATGTCAGTGCTTCGAAGCGAGAAGAAATGTCGCTTGGATAAGTTGCAGCGCAGTTTTATTAGTTTATAGCCGTGGCCGTCTTGATCAATGATAATCCTGACCGGTCATAATCTGTTACCATTTTACGCATATAAGAACAAACTAGATAAAGCTATTGAAAAATATATGTTTAGACTTGAAATGCCTAGCACCATATCGAACCCGGTGGATGTCTAGTAGCTATTTCAAACAATCGTCAGTCCTGAAAAGATCCGGTCAAATGACACGATTTTAGATCTTCTGTGAACAAGTCACGAAAAGTAAGAATCGGCGACAGGCCACATCAGGCCTATACTCTTCAGCGCCGACATCGCTATGTTATATCATGTTATATTTGGTTTTTACATACGATTTTCGCGTTTGATATCAGTCGGCAAAATGAACGTCTTAAGGAGAGTCTTATTGACATGAGGATTAAAGCTGAATTCAATAATAACATTCCTTACAATACACATGCTTATGCCTTGATTCTTCCAGTCAGAATAATTCAATTACAATCTGATGGTGAAGAAATGAATATAAATTGCTAAAAATTTGGAAATTCTCTTGGATTTATATCATATTAAAATGATGTATTGCATAAAGTGTCAAAAAAGACTGATGCTGAGCACTCTCAGTATGTTATGAAGAAAAAAAAATATTTGAGAGCGGACGTTGCTTGATTTCTAAAAAAAACTAAACTTCTTTTATATCAGCAAAAGTAGGTTTCATTTTTTTCAATTTCTGCTATATGCTTTCGTCTATGCAATCCCTGATATAGGCGCTGTATGCCGAGTCTCTGGCAGGAGGGGCTTCTACCATATCCAGAGCGGTTAATAAGAAGAAAACTGATGAAAAACTTATAGCAGCAACAAACTGACATAATGAAGCAATGGAAGCTAAAAAGGGATCTGGTTTGAGATTGATCCCAGCGAAAAAAAAATCTTCACCGAAAAAAAATCTTGTAGGGAAGGTCTCCACTTAAATCCTCCAAGAAAATAATACCTATTAAAAAATTAACACAACATGATTTAAAACATTATTCGAGATTATTAGAAGTACCTAGAGTCAGATATATTTTCATGAGAGATACACATTTTAATATATTTGGAACATATTTTAATAGTACACCCATATTACATCTAAGAGGTCCCCCAGGTATTGGCTTTCAGTACCTTCACGCTGAAAAATTGTGATCTGAATGACCAATGATCGGAATCTTGCAAATATCTCTTGTTCAATTGAGGATAAGGATGCCGCATGCAAGAGTTATGTTGATGAGGAGGTCGTGAAAGTCTTAGATGTTCATGTAAAGGATTTAAAAATGAGCAATAAAAAAGAAATGTAGTGATCGAGGGAGGGTGTCATGGTGCATATCAACTTTATCGAGAATGAATTGCCTGCAGTAAAATCAATAGTAGAATAGTAGAAACTCTTGATGGAAAAATAACTCAGGAAATGATTGAAGTAAAAACAGAATTGGAAAATGCTGGTATGAAATTAACTCAAGAAATGACTGAAGTAAGATTAAAATTGCTAAAACAAATGAAAATTTGAAATTCCTCGATGAAAAAGTATCCTCATTAGCAGGAATTCAAGTTGAATTATATGCATCTATTGATGATGTTGAAACACCGGAAGGCGGAAGATGACAACATGAATAAAGTAGTAGAAGTAATGATAAAGCAGGATGAGTTTTCTGAACGACTTGCAAATCTTGAGGAAAGATTCAATATTGGAACAGGCGTTCGCTAGAGAACTCTACTGTGATTTTGGGAAAGATATATATTAAACTAAGTTTATAAATGCATCAAATGCATTTATAATCTTGGTTAATAAAAAATGAGAGCTAATGTACCATATGAAATAATTGACAACAAACATACAATTCACTCTACTTGATGTATTTTCGCTTCAGTTAAGAGGGGGATTGAGGGAAACGTACTCCAATGGATCAGAGATTTTCTAGTAGGTAGACGACAACGTGTCAGTATTAACGGAACCGTGTCAGACTGGGCATCAGTGCGCAGTGGCGTGCCACAAGGAAGCGTCCTGGGGCCTATTTTGTTCTCCACATCAGGCCTACACTTCAGAGCCGACATCACTATGTTATGCTATGTTATGTTAAGTCATTCCAACTAGTCAAGTGTGACGAGACCATTAAAAATATTCGAAAATATAGAGTCATTCATGATGGAGGCAAATTAAAGTTACTAGAGGGTAGTTCATTTACACGCTATTGTCGTTCGAGGTAGCCTGTGAGGATAAAAAAGCCTGATGAAATCTCTTAAAGAAATTGTAGAAGCAATAACAGATGTTCAAAGAGAGGTGATGTTCAATTCTGGAAATATTAATTCGTTGATAATATCTTTGATGATTGATGTTGATAATATCTGCGAAGATATTCCCATCTCTCCACCGAAATAAATCAGCTGGTAATTCAAGTGAATATATTAGAACAAACATTGAAAATAATGTTAGAAATAAAACTTTAAGAAATGCTTTAACAGTGGATATATAATAAAAATAAACAGAAAAATCATTTTGTATTTCCTTTTCCAAGTTTGAAAGGTCTCATAATTGGAAGATCAAATTGCGGTAAAACGTCGTTGCTTCTGAAGTTGCTATTGGAGAACTTTATTGATTTCAACAATTCCTGTATAGCAAGTAAACTCATCAACCTGAATATAAGTTGTTGAAAAATTCTTTCGATAAGGGATATCATAAATCTGAAATAATTGATTTATTTTTCAACGGCAATGGCAATATTGATGAAAAGCATGAAAATTTATCTAAAAGACGCCATCAGAAATGTGCAATCGAATACTTTGAAAATGCTGCTTCTGTGCCTGATCAATTATCCCAAAACTAACACATATAACCAAGACAAACCATTAGAACGAATTCAAATTTATTAACTCTCATCGAGTTTCCTTTCATCGATATGAAGAATATTCACAGTGATTACATTGCTTGCGTTATGCCCCTTGCAGAGTTTCAAGAATTATGTAATGAAACGTACAAAGTACCATATAGCGTTGTGTTCATCTATAAAGATGAAAACCCCGGTTCTGGAATGTATTTCAAAAATTTAAATCAATTATATATTTCACAGAACTATTTTTCTGACAGCCGCTCTAGGTTAAGCCCTGAGTTCTTGGTTAAAATAGTGCATGGTCGATCGTGGGTAAATTATCGTTTACAAAATTTGGATGGCCAAGATTCGGGGTAAGATTGTGGGTAAATGCTCAGGTTTTTGATCGGAACAGTGCTAAAATTTTTGATGATCAAGATTCGAAATAAGATTGTGGGTAAATGATCGGTAGCTATTAAGCTGTTTATGCAGATTGTGATCATCCGCTCACTACAGTAACTACCAACGCAGAAGTGAGCAGTGATCTGCATACTGGACATCAAACTCTACACACCTAAGGACGGTATGTAGTAATTAAAAAACTGCAGACTTAATGGGCAGGATGGAGCAATGGTTAAAGTTCAGAGTACCAAGATTGGAGCACAGAGGTGCGGGTTCGATCCCAGCTCTGTGCGCTAGTTTCTGCTCTGAATTGGCAAGTAGGCCGGGCAGTTAAGCAAAGAAAATTTGAAGCAGTGAGTAGCGAGTTCAAGCCCGCAACAAGCTGTGAATGTTCTGCAATTTTAAGAATCGGCGACAGGCCTACGACGTAATAAACGCTGAAACCGTTGCATTAATGGACATGCCTTACATACGGTATCATTTCTCTCTTGCCCTCACAAACAATGATCATTTCAAAATAAAAATTCAACCAATAAATCAAGCTTATCTTTCCATGAAGTAGATCCTTTAGCAGCCTTGTGGATTGAAACCGACTTTAAGTTAGTGGTGCAGGATCTGCCGGTAATAAAACCATGTTGGCAATCTGATATGAGATGGTGAGCAGTCAAGTGATCGATAATCCTATCCCTCAACATGGGGAAGATACAATTAGTGACTCGTGCGGTATCAAGAATTTAGATAAATTGCATGACATTCAGTAGCTTGATGTTTCACTCGAAAACTGAAATCCAGTCTCAGTCGGATAAATATCTCTGCAAACATCTGACTATCAGCGCAAGGCAGCCACTCGCTATAGAGACCTGGGGCAAACTGAGCTAAGGGCAACCAATTGCACCTGCGAAACGATAATTAATTTTTATGCTGTACGCGCGTACACGAGCTGCCGTGAAGTGCCATGGGTGTTGTGCTATCACGCGACTTGCAGGTTCCAAGCGCAGGTTGCTTGCACTCTGGCGCAAGGCAAAGAGAAAGACCACGAAGGTTGG